GTGACCTTGTGACTGGACTTTTTCCGCACCACGATTTCCAGTGTGGCCACAAATTTTTCCTGCATATGAACAAAAAGGTGTCAATATGCAATATATATACATCGATCGGTGTTGTTGTTTTGTGCTCATGCGCAATTTCCTGCAATGAACAAATAAAGGCATTGCATATATAGTGTGGGACCTGGCCTGGTCCCAATTGACATCCATGAGCATGCGGGCTGTCTCAGCCTTGGGCCTTCTCTTGAACTCGTCAATGACCCAACCGGGAACATTCAAAGACACCCTCTTCTTTTTCGGGGTGCACATCCTCCGAACACGGGCCTTTGCAGCCTCCAACAACAGCTCCTGCAATCATGGAGTTGAACCGCATGCTGAGGTGTCAAAAGATTGGGAAAAGAGATTTGGGACACGATCAAGATGGAGGCTCCTGCCGGGTCTTTTTGGGGGACGAGTCTGAACTGGCATGTTGACTGGCAGGCGTTTCAGGGGCACTGGCATTCGCTCGAGTTGGTGTAGCCACAGCTCTCACAACGGCTTCCTCCTGACGAGGCAGATGTATATACACACGCTTCCACATGTTTCACGCATCGCAAAAACCATCAAACATGCTTGTGAAGAACGAGAGCAAAAGAGATCGAGGGAAGGAATCAGAAAAAAAACACATCGATCCTTGGGAACTTCATCCAGCTGTTCAGCGGATTGGTCAGTGACTTCCGCTGGTCCCGCTGTCAATGGCACGGTTTCTCTAGGAATGGGGGGTTCTCCACCACCACTTTTTTGGGTCTCATCTTGGCTCTGGACGATCAATGGTTCTTGCGCGCGAAGCTGAGACTCGGTAGCCTGGGCAGGACCACGATAAGACCCGAAGATATGGTTGCATGAGTTCCCTCATAATCATTGTTGCCAAACTGCCATGAGATTAGGTTCATCTCCGGAATCCCCTTATACAAGCCACTGCCTGTCAACCGGCCAGGTCCCTGACCGGCACAGTCTCAAATGAAGAAATGGCCGGCGGCTCAGGATGAGCCTGGGCTACGGGGCAGTGACTGATATAACAGAGATGGGGACCCAAATCCAACAGAATCGAGTAGCAGTTGGCTCATTCGTTTTGGCTTGCCGATCTCCATCAGCTTTTTGCATATCCTGCAGGAGGGGCTATTCCAGTTGAGGTTTTCAAGGGTTTTGAGTGAACTGTCATATGATCATAGTCAAATGTTGGTGTCCTGAATCATTTTTTCCAACATTTCTTCCTCTTCTTCGACTTGATTAGCTTCAGCTAGAAGCGCATCCACCCCATCCGCTAGCGTGTGGCAGCTCCAAACCCTGGAAGTAGTAACCATGGACATGGAAGTCATCCCCCAAGCGGGCTAGATCCTGTTTTGAACCCTTTCGGAACACCCAAATGCTGCAGGTTCATACGAAGATGGCTCACAAGTAACGGTTCCTGAATCCAGACTGTTCAAACTGGTGCACTATAGAGCAATGCAATGCACATCAATGGACCTTTTAATTGCCAATTCAGCCAAATCGAGCTTAAAAACCCGCTTGGCAGACCAAGTTCCGGAGCTGGAGAAACCCATATTTTTCCTACGGGTTACTACGGGTTAAATACGGGTTCTCTACGGGATAAATACGGGTTGTGCAAAACCAGGTTTTTACTAGGCGAAAAAAATACGGGTTAAGTACGGGATAAATACGGGTTAATACGGGATAAATACGGGTTTCTATAGTGGAACCCTATTTTTTGTTTGTATTTTTATGTTTTTTTCATTTGGCTCTTAAAATTGTGTTAGATTTTCATCATATGGTCTCCTTGGCAACACAAAACTGTTTATAATGTCCTGTTCGCCACCAATATAAACAGGAAAGTCTCCATGACACAGCTCCGGGTCAACTGGGTTTTGGAACAAGATGCTTCCATTCATCAGGGATAATCAATTTCCTTCCCCGACGAAGGTAGTCAAACACTTGGCCTAGCTTTGCAAATTCAAGGGCATTGCTTTCGTCCGGCATGCCCAAAAAGGATTCAATTGCAGAAGGAACCTCACTCGGAAAAGGTGCCCGGCCACGGCTCGATCGGGTCAAGTGCTCGTAGGTGTCGACAAGTCGGAAACCAAATCTGACAGGATACTCCCTTAGCTGAGCAGGTGCCGGGACTCCGCTAGGATCCTGGTAATATAGTTCTAATTATGATCGCCCATCAAAAAAGACAAAAAATGACACCAATGGAAATTAAGGATCTCCGTTTTTCGTAAGAAGGATGTTCCAGTGTAGCATTGTTTTCCCTCTTTGTTCACATAAGTCTTGCAGGTTTTCAATTTGGGGGTATCATCACCTGCAGCCTGGCGTTTCTTCCAACCAACTAGCCTCCCTTGGTCAAGGGAAGCTATGTAGCCACTGTTGCTCCATGCATAGTGAGGCTTCGGCACCAAACATCCGTAGTGGTGCATGTACCACTTTGTCCGCGTTACCTGAGCTATAGGATATTATAGCTGCATTCACGGAAAGTTGATCCAAATACTCCATAAGAAAACGGTGTTCAGGAAACTCTGTCAACTCAGTAAAGGCTTGCTGCAGCAGCTTCCCCGTAAGCTTCAAAAAGAGCAGCGATCAATGACAGAAATGGTGGAAAGAATTCCATCACTGAAAGCTCTGGCTGCTCAATTGCCCAACATCCGCCAAGAGCTGTTGTAACCAAGCACAATAAAATTGTCCTCAATATAAGGCAAACTCAGGTCCCACTATTTAGAGATGCCCAGAAACCAATTGGATCCATTGAGTAAAACCAGGTCCTATATATGCCACAACTATATATTAATATGCAACATATATATTGAAATCTATATAATCGAGACTCCGTGCGCACATAGAATTGGAAGAATCTACACTTGGCAGCCCTGGAATACCCAAGCTCGCACAGGGAGATCTGCCTGATGTCCCTTGATTCACTGCCGACCAACTGGCGCATTTTGGCGCAAAGGTCGCCAAGAAGGAGTCGGTGGTGCAGAGCAACGAAAAGAGAGCTAGCCTCAGTCGTAGGGCAGGGATCGAGCGAGTTGGTTTCCGGTGCATGGAAGATCCCCAAATGGATAAACGATGATACACGGTATCCGAAGAGGATCGAAGGATTAAATGCAATCAGAAATCCAGGAAACCCATATATGCCCCTGCAAATCTATTGCTTAAGATCAAAAGCAAAAAAGCATTGTTAATTAATTTATATGCACGAATTGATTGTGCATATGGCGTTTTTTGTTTAAATATATACACGGAACATCATGGAACTGTTATCCAAAACGACGCATGAAAAAGACGTCACATGGGACCTCGCTATGGTGGCCTAAAGGAGCAGCCACACCACACCCTGGATCAATTTTGCACCAATCCATCCCCTATATACAGTTTATGTGATATGTGTGCAGTTGGGGTGGCCCTTCCCCTGAAATGAACATTTCAACAAATTGTTTGACAATCGGCGCAAAGCCCGAAGTATCATTGATGTCCATGGCGTTCGATTTGTAAGGCTTCTCAGGATTGTTGTTTCCCAATTTGTAAAGGACATCGAAGCTGGCCGTTTTGATTCCCGACGCCCTCATACACCGGGACAGGTTTGCCCGCCCAGCGAAGAACTCAAGCATCTGGAATTCCTCACGCATGGCTTTTGATTCAACCCATCAGAGGTCAAGAGGACACACAAACGATAGCGCTGTTATAATGCTATACAGTATATCATTATTGTCCTCTCTATATTTGATTTTTTGGACACGCAAGCATTTTTATATACGCAGTTATTTATGACCCTTAGAAAGTTACACCTTGTATTGCAAACCTTCAAGTGCACACACCTATACATTGGTAGTCGTGGACGGTTACTGTATAGATTTGACCTGCATGCATGCCTTTATATAAACCTTATAAATTATATATATGCACAAGGTTTTCAACCCAGGTGCTGCCAACACGTCCCTGGCACCCGCTCTCTCCTCCGAGCATTGAAGTGACGGCGTCCAAAGGATCATCAAGATGCATAAGGCCAACACCTCATGAAGCGAGTGTTGCTATTAAACCAGAACAATTAGATATGAGTCTGACATATACTGTTTTTCCATCGGCATGTAACTTCCCATTCTTGGAGAGTTGAGACCCTGACTTTAGGACACCGCAAAGAACGCAGCTGGAAAAAAAGTCGGTCCAACTGATCAGAATCCTGGAAACGATCCATGATCCCTCTATACCACCCTTCCTCTATATTGATCCTTCAAACACTGCGCCAATGCAAAAAAAGACAATCCGACAGAGATGGCAATGTTCGACCGATCACGCAACTGTAGTGCAAATCAAAATGATTCTTCAACTTGCAATGTGTATACCTCACATAATTGTGCCAGCCCCGCGTGCACGGGTCTTGGCTTGGAACTTGGATCGCACTCTCCAGAGATTGCCCCGGCTGAGGCTGGGCATTGTCGCCAAGCCGCCTGCAGAGAGGAGCAGAGACGTATATAGGTGTGAGATGGTGGGAGGAGCAGTGGGTGTGACCTGATGGGGCGTGCACTCAACCGAGATCAAGTAATGGAATGGGCCAATTTCTTTGGATGAACATAATAGGTTTGATGGCGGCTTTCCAACAAATAATTGGGGTTGACACCGACACTGGTATAAAGTATATAGGTATATGTAACACTGCAGGTTGTCGATCCTCAAATCTTTTCCGTTGGTGCGGATGGTCAGAGCTCAGCCGCAGGAAACCACTGGCAAACTTCATTGCCAAAGACCATATATGTTCACTCGCGTTGCCCCTACACCCCCCCTTCTACATATAGCACCATCAAGATCATCAATTCAGCGAAAGAAATTACATATTGTTTGTGTATACTGATTTGGCAGAAACAATTGAAGCTGTCCATCCAAAGGCAGGGGCATACCTAAAGGCTGTCGCGAGATTCCATATATACAACCCCATATCTCAAAATGATGGCTCCAGCTCTCTACAAAGATGCATATTATGCACCATGCTCCGGTTCAGGCGACAGTTGTCCCAAACGGTACAGGGCAAGCAAGGCGTTGTGCTTGAGCTGCAAGTTCAACTCGCCATCCTTTTCGTAGGGCTCATGATTCTCGAATCCTGCTGCCTTATAGGAGCGTGCCAGATTGTTACACAATATATACTCTCTAAAAAAGGGGATCGTTTGCTTTAAATATGCAACCGCAAAAAGAAAGCTGCGTGTTGTTTTGTTTGTGCACGTGGTGGCATGCGTGTACAACATGCAATCATCCATCATGTGTTATAGAAGATGAAATCTCTACAACTGGTGGGAAACAGATCCTGATGTGTCCAGCGCATACTTGGCAAAAGCTAAGCTACAGAAATCATAGCACACTTGAGGGCCACAGTCATCTTGTGGACATCACAGGCCGAAGTTTGGTTGAAGGCAAAGTGAAGCACATCGTTTCCATCACAAAGGGAATGAACACCAACACCGGCCCTAGTCCAGTAGGCATTGATTCTGTATTCTGAGAACTTGTCCATCTTTCCCCGTGCAAGACCCTTAAACTTGTCACCTTTGATGGACAGTTTGGGATCAAACCCCGCCGCAAAGTCTGCAAGTTCAATGACCAGATCATCTTTGTACAAGGGCGATCCCATTTGCGCTGTCAACCAAGCCTCGTTTTGACCGTCTACCGTTACGCGCGGTCTTCCACGAGCTTTTGCCTTGGCCTTACCGCTGGCCTTTTTGCTGGCAGGTTCTTTCGGGCTGGCCGTCGCACCCTTCCCCTTGCTGCTTGAAGACTTTGCAGACTTGGCATTGGGTCTGGATGGAGCTGAGGGCTGTGCTTTGTCCTTTGTACGAGTTTTCCTCTTTGTTGTCGTCTCCTGGGTTGCCTTCGCAGCAGCTGAGCTAGAGCTTGCACTTGGTGTCTTTTTTGCGATCTTTGACCTCTCATGACCCTCACTGGCCTCAATGGCCTCATCCATGGCTGAATGATTGGGTTTGAGAATCTTGCGCTTACGGCTCACTCGTGCTTTCGTTGGCGGTTTCTTTCCCTTCCCCTTTCCTCCCTTTCCTCCCTTTCTTCCCTTTCTTCCCTTCCTTTTCTTCTTCCCACCTTTCTTGCCGCCTCTCTTTCTTTCAGTCTTCTTGCTAGATTTGAAGCGAAGCTGATCATCCCTAGTCAACAGCTCACGAGGTGTCTCCTTTGCCTCCTCCCCCTGGATTTTCTCCCCATTGCACATGGGCGCTTCCTCCTTCTTGGCCTCCATCTTGGCCTCCATCTTGGCCTCCATCGGTGAGTCACGGTTTTCCTCCGCTGCCTCAGCCAGGTGGTGGCTTGAAGTCCCATGCAAGAGGGCATAAAGGAAGGAAGAAGTAGGGTGTTCATGTCTTGACCCAATAATACCGAATACATAGTTCCCATAAACTTGCAACCCAAATTGCGGAGGGTAGTGAATACACTGTGGCCGTCCCAGGAGCTGGCTTGCCAGAGGCGCGCTGGAACTGGTCTCGGCGTTTGTCGGAGGGAACATCGGGTGATGTAGACCGTGATAGAGAATCCGGAGCAACAACCTCCAGAATGTCGTGCAGTGGCTGGGTCTCCACGTTGTCAGGAGCAACGCGCTGTGGACCTGTGGATGTTCCTGTCAGAGGTCATGTACTGCTTTGACAATCACGGGTGTTTCTTGTTCAGTTACACATGCACCAAAAAAGGAACACAAGTTGCATGCTCGTATCGATTTGTACACAACCCATGCCTTGGGGCGGGCTGGCATCCTCAGACTTCATCCGTTGGATGGCTTGTTGAAGACGCAGCTTCCTCTCTCAGATCCTGGTGAGGCAACATATTGAAGAACAATTGTAACAAGTACAAACGGGGGACACCTATATAGCGACTATTTACATCAATTTGGACATTCCCTGACAGTTTTTGCATCAGAAGATCTAAGCCCCTAACTGTTCCAAACGCCTTTGAGCTTCTGCCAACTGGCGGTTCTGCTCAGCAATAACAGAATCGCAATGTGCGTGTTGGCGACCTTGATGGGATTGGCATGCTGCATATGGCTTAGACACATGCAGCACAGGGTGAGTTCAAAGGTCCATCCACATGAAATGATGATATACAGGTTTCTATATGTACAGCCGGGATAGGGTTTGATTGCCAAGCCCCAGGCGAAGAGCTTCTTCTTCATGTTCCGGAGCTACAGGACCGGGGCCCTTCGTTTCCGACTCTTGCTGGAAAATGGGCCGAGAACCTGGGCTTGGGCTGCGAGGATGGGCATTTGGCACTTCAGTCGAAGAAGTTTCTGGTTGTCCTTCAATGTCCTTCCCTCGAATCTCCGCGTCAGAGCCAGACTCCTCATCGTCACTGCTCTCAGATTCAGAGTTATCATATGCATCCAAATCCTTTTCATGGTCCTGAAGCGGAGGGAAGCAACTTGTCTTGTATATATATATTGGTTTGCATATTTCGTCCAGGAATCGACATCAAACACCCTGTGCACCGGTACCGGGAACCTGCCTCTAGATTCTCATGGCTGCCAACTTTCTCTTGCTGGGCCTTGTTGATCTCCCCACAGAGCTCCTGATCATGGTGCAAAAGGTAATGAAACAATATAGCGCATATGCATGCAGTGATTATATGAAAAAGGGGATTCAATTGTTATATAATTGAAATGCACCCCCCTGTCCTCAAGTGTAGGGTTGAGGATGCAGCAGAGTTCTTGGAAGAGCTTTGACTCAGTTGGCATGGAGGAATAGTGACACAGATCTCTCACAATTCTCAAAGAGGTTTCTTTTCTGCAAAATAGCTGTTGCCACAACAAAACAATTCAATTTAAGATCATGAACTGGAAATTTATCATCAATGTTCATGGGTGTCATATATACTGATTCAGATGAGGGGCAGTTGAGACCAACTGCTTTCGAGTCTTCATCTTCACGAGGGCAAGGAACTTCCGAATGTACCAGCTGTCATCAATGATAGCCTTCTCATCCACAGTAGTGCGGCCAGCCTTTTGGTACAACAGACCTATTTGGTGCCTCAACTGTCGAACAGGTGGTTGCGGATGTAGCTCAACACCAGCAGTTCGTAGCAAGATCGGTTTCAACACCGCGTGGACGTGCGCATGTCCAACATGCTTGATACAAATGCTGATGTTCTCATCAAACAAGACTCTTGTGGAATCCGCTCGCAGATACTCTCTAATGACTTCTGCAGAATCCCATTCTTTGGCAAGATCACTGATGTCCACTTTTGGTTTTTTCGGAACCCTCTCCTTGACCATGGCTCCACAAATAGAAGCGTTTGTTGCTGACTCGGAGCGATTTGAGTTAAAGTGCTACACATGCATGCATGCACGCACCTTTTTGCATGCCCAACATGCACAATTGAAAAAGACATGCACTGAAAGTCATGCCTCCCAGTGTTGCTAATGTGTGCTCCCAACCCTCTTCCGGAAGATGCAGGACCGCGCCTTCGTGAAGTTGGGCTCTGGAGAAAAAGGGGCCATGGCTCTCTCAGGGTGCAAGGGATATGTGCTGGTGATTACTTACACAGTGGCCATCCTGTATGATAGTCAAGCCACACTTGCACTCACAAATAAAGATTGATAATCTGCACATTTGGGTTGTTTTGCAGGCAACTCTCAGACAAAGGATCATTTGCCTGTTTGTTCTGTTGGTGACCAACAAAACCCCGCGACCCATATGGCCATGCAGCCATCGACTGCTTCTTGATCCACAGCGAGGGAGTGGTAGATCTTGAACTGGCCTGAAAGTGCAGCTGGCATGGGGCAATGACTCTTTAGATAATCTCCCATGGTTGATTTATAGGTTCTTGATGGAAAACCCGGTTTTTGAGACGGTTCTTGACAATAACCAGGTTCTTGATAAGGAACCTACATTTTTATAGGTTCTTGGTTCGCTAGGTAAACATGCCCACGCATTCACTATCATTCACTTGTCTGATAACGGAGCCTTGCAGGGTGTGTTTCTTCATGCATGCTGATGCTCAAGGCTCCTGTAAAAGCAATGGAGGGACTTGTTTGTGAGTCGAAGAGTCAACAAGTGAGAGATGGCCGTGGGTCACGGCACCAGGATACCTTGATATACCTTGGTTGATCTATCTGGGGGTCAAGCTACATGGTGGACCAGGGCTCCAGGTTTTGACCCATCCCCAGAATCAACCCTCTCCTCTGCAGCCGTCTCCTGCGGAGCAAGCTCAACAAAGGCCCAAAAAAGCAGCAACATCGCAATCCGCTGGTGTCGCTGGCTAGCTGGGTTGAGATCAACTCAGTGGGATTTACCCTAATTGATTTTAGGAGTCCAATCCCGAACGGATAGTCCCAACACAGCCTGTTGGAGGGTCCGGGCACATGCAATATTTGTGTTCAGTAGCATTTGTTGCCACCTGGAAGAAAACAACAAATATCAAACATCTTGGGATGCCTTTGGAACCTGGTACAGTCACAAATGATCGACCGAATCAAAAGAGCGCCGTGGCTGATGACGGCAGCAAAAAAGACCTGGGTTCATGATTATTTTGCATGAACTTATGCACCTTTCTGCATGCCTCACGCACTTTCCTGCATTTTGCCAATTATGTACAGTATTTATAAAGCCTCATTGGGTGGGAACTGGTGGGAACTCCCACACAGCAGCTCAGCAAATGACTGGATCCCATCGATCTTTGTCGAAACTCGGATGTCCGAATCAGTTTAGCCACGCAGCGGGGCAGGACACATCAAATTGAATTCAACCAAACCTCTTACACCTCTTGACACAGATGGGCCCACTCCTTTCAGTTCTGCTAGGTTTTTCTTTAAAATTTGTTGGCACAATGTCAGCAGAGTAGTACGGTACCTGTACAGTGTTTTCAAAGGTTCGACGGCACTGGCACCCGAAGATGTCCTAGACAAATGGGGTTCGATATAAACCACCTCACTTGAGGGCCCAGGCACGTCTTGCCATAGCAGGACCCTCCGGTTCTGAGCCTTCCGTCTGGGGCCCTCCATCACTTCGTCTCGTCTCGTCTCCTCGGAGCTGCGCATGCCCCACTCGGGCTCGCTGAAGTACGCCTCCCCTGATCCCCCGCGCTCGCCCCGCATCGGCGCGGAAGCACTGCTGCGAGGCGCCACTGCCTGGGGCAGTCGAACGGTGGCTTGGTCCAGGTGTCCGGGTTGTCCGGGTGGTGCTGGTTGAAGTCAAGAGTCCTTTCATTTCACCTGGACAGCCTTCAAACGGATGCAGTTGGATGAAAACAAGTCCATCGTTTTGGTGAGGTGCCAGGTGCCTTCGCGAGGCCCAAGTCCACTCTCTCGGTGATGGGTCCACTACGATAAAGAATATCAAGCCATATATCAAACCCAAACACTCCATGTATGCCATATATGCCTACATTGGGGTGGTTTGGGGGGTCAATGTAGGCATATATGGCATACATGGAGTGTCTGGGAAATATACCTGGCACATCCTGGCATCTGAGTGACCTCTATTGGTCGGACCAACCACTCCGAAAGCTGCGGTCGTTTCCTATCAAGACACCGGTCGTTGAGGTCCAGACGACGGTGAAACTGGTCACGGAGTCGTCTTGCTTCCGACTCCATGGGTCGTCGTCCGGTCCATTGCAACGATGATGATGGATCCAATATTATATACCAGGACCCTCCTGTCGGGGTGCCCTGTCTGGAAGCCTAGGCCGGTAGTGTGGGGTAGTCCAGCCAGCACACCCCGAGGGTCGGAGGGTCCAGGTATATATACCCTTAACACTCCATGGGACTGCCATATACTACATTGACCCCCAAAACCACCCCAACTGATCGGCTTATATGGCAGTCCCATGGAGCGTCTGGGATATCATCATGGGCCAACGTGGATGGCCCTGAGTTCGGAGGACCATTCTCCTCTACAAACAGGTGATGTTCACTCCACTTTCTATGATTATTACCCTATAAGAATCAAGGACCCTCAAAGGTGAAGGTTTTGAGGGTCCAAACCCCTGCTATGCAGGGTCCAAACCCTCCATAGGAGGGTCCAATGATGCTTAGGGTATGATTATTTCAGGGAGTCCATGTCCAGAACTCCTCCCACCTGCGCGATCTCGCCATGAGCACCCAATGGGTGGCCCGCACGAAAGGCCTCCATCGGGAGCTTCGGTCGGCGAGCGCTTGAACACCCACTGGCAATTGGTCCCATCCAAAAAAAGTGGGCATTGGCATTGTAGCTGCTTTCGAGCTACACAAGGCATTGCAAGGGTTCAACTACATAATTAAATGGACACTAAAATAATAAGCACTCTAGCTAGTCTAATACAGGACATGGCCTCAGTGTTCTGATGCAAATTCAACAAGTCAATTGTGAAAAGAACACTGAGCTGGAGCGATGAGCTGGCCAGTGTGTGCCTGAAGAACTAGAATGAGCGGTCCTTTCATGGTGGCAGTGAACGAACCTAGAATGGAATACGACCACTCTCCCATGTAGATACAGTGCCTAGGAAAACAATCAAGAGAAAACAAACAAAAAGGTTTCAGCTGAGCTACGCCTGAAAACGCCTCACCATGTAAGGCCCAAAAAGGTGATAATCATCTGAAACAAGCTAGACCTCACACACCAGCTGGTGTCACACTCATGAGCTGTTCGAGCTGTTGATAGCTGTTGTAAGGCCACAATCCCAAAGAACGGGCTGCTCACTGCCCCAGACCACGCAAAACCAAGGTACACATTTTGTAGAGCTATGATAGCAGGACAATCTATTGGGGAAAGGCGATGCTCAGTCAGTGCTAGCTGCTAGCTTTCCAGCAAGGGCAGGTTGGCTAAGACTACAAACTGATGTTAAGCCAAGCAACTTCGACGGCATTGACCAATTGAACCAAAGAAAAAACGTCTTAAAGGAGAGAGCCTAGCAGGCAAGAAGGTGTTCCTCTAGAACAACTCCATGATCATGGCTTCGCATGGCTTTGCGCCCTCGAACTCCTGCTGCTCGGCCTGGTAGTCATGGCGGTAGGCCTCGGGGCGTCACAACTGCTCGATGTCTCGAGCCGTCAGTTAAAGCACAGCACCCCACCCCAACGGAGGTCTCCTGGACAGGACAGCCATGCTTCTCACTAAAGGCCCTCCATTCAGGGTCACCGGGATCTGAGGATCTGTGTCAATTCGGTGATTTCAGGGATCAGCTAGTGTCGGTTCTCCAAATCGTCCCATTCCCAAATTCAGTGACTTCAACCTTTTCAATATCTTTCTTGGATCCGGCCATGATCTGGCTATCCTTTCAGCTCAACTTGGTAGTATAGTCATCCCCGTCCCTTCCCATCCATCCATCCTCCAATCCCATGGTCCCCCACCGGTTTCCTCCCGCGGTTTTCGCCTGCAGCTCCTGCGGCTCCAACGAGCTCGGCAGAAACTCCAGCGGCGGCCCCAGCGAGGCGGGCGTCGCCGGGGTGGTCGCCGGCGTGGTCGCCGCCGCGACCGGTTGGTCGTTTTTCGGCGAGGCCATTGGGGTTCGCCAGAGAGCCGCGCGCGTGGAAAATCACCAGGTTCTAAGCCTCAAAAGACCGCTGATCATGGCAAGAACATGCAAGAACCAAGCAACATACTAGCATACCACGTATATATATATATATAACTAATAATATACCACCCGCAAACGAGGGCTAATGTTCATATAGCAGGGTTTGGGGCACCTTTTTTAGGCTCAGAGGTGTCCATAAAAAAATAATATCTCTCCATGGGTCCTGGTATAAACGAAGTGCTGAAGTGCTGAATGGATCTTAATGGAGGATCGCGGTGCCCAGAACGTCCTGGGGGACTCAAAACCATGACAATTCATTATGTCATTGTATTGCAAACATACCTTTAAAATAGAATTAAACACATTTAACATACACTCTTCACCTCTCCACAAGAAGTTGGATCTATAGCTGGACCAAGTCCCATGATATGCAAAGCCTACTTCTCTTCGACAATGGATGTTAACAGGACGATGCTGAAGCTTTAAGATTCCCCCACCACCTCAAACAGCAATCATCTGCTGGGGGCCAGAACTGTGCCATCTTTGTCCCCCCTCCAAGCCCGTCTCCGGGACATGCCCGCATCTGGAGCCAGAACGGCGCTGCCGAGCCACTCGCCCAGAAGGCACTTCTTGGGGCAAAACGGGAGTGTTTGTTCCCCAAATATGGACCAAAAGAGGTTGAACAGCCCTATAGATCCCATAGCCCATCCCATATGTACCACCAACAAACCAGGGTCCGAACGTTCAGGTCTTTCAACCGTCTGGGTGGACGTATTCGGATACCCCAAGGGTTTCTGGATCATCTGAGGTCCAATGGTCGATCTGGGGTCCAATGGTCGATCTGGGGTCCAATGGTCGACACACCGTCCATCAAAGCGACCCGATCCTGGTGTCGATATCAATGACCAGTGGCGTGCACGCACCCTTCCTTTACAGTTGGTATGTTCTCCAAACAAATGATCGGAAGCATCCAATGATGCAAAGAACGCCATAAAATCTGTTCAATCAAATTTGAAACATCTGTGGTTTCTTCATGTTTCTTCTATTTTGCTAAAGCCCTTTTTGAAAGGAAACAACTTGTCTTAGAAGTCTCCACCCCAGTTGAGCATGGCCCCGACCCCCCGCCAACCCAACCCGGTCTCTGCAAGTGGGCCGGCGGGACGCGTTGTTGCGCCAACACCTCGAGTATTTCGAGCTGGTGAGGGGAGCCCATCTGAAGTAAAGCACCGAGAGAAAGAACAACAAGACAACAATTCGTCAACTGCATCTGATTCATTGTTGAGTACACATATTGAACATTTTGTACCAAGGTATGGTCGAAAAGGTGACTTGTGAGAGTTTTCAGGTGATGTATCGTGATTCTCAACCATCTTGACCCGACTCTAGATGATCTAAACATACCAGGACACCCTAAGCGGTGTCTATTGATAGCCCCTTAGAGGTGATGCAGGGTGTCCATGTCTACCACCCCGACCGTGGGTCCTAGTTATTATGGGTACATCCCATTCCTTGGGCCTGGTGGGTGTTGGTGAGTTGCAGGCCGACATCGGCGGTTGTACGTTGCCCCGCCACGTGACTGGGTCGGATTTAGTGTCGTGCTGGACGACAGCGTTCGTTGAGGCCAAGGGGTGGACGTCTGAGGATGTGACACAAAATCCCGATGTCACTCTGGAGGACCATAACCCAAGTCCATACCCCCCGAGGTGTTTCAATTGGAGGGGGTGTATTAATCAAGAGTCTACATGACCAAATACCTACCATCTTTGCATTGGGAGGGTTTTGCTCACAGTCTTATTAGCCATTGAGTTCTACAAGCCCCTGCTTGCTCTTCGCTCCACAAGCGCCACTGCGCAAGTCTAGTCTGCAAACCGGATTCTCCCGTCCCAGCAGCTCAAAAGGGCTGGAGAAGTCTAGCTCAAAAGGCTGAAGGAATCAACGATGGAAGGCAGGCCTTGAGCGCCTTGAACACCATCCCTGGACCATCTCTTAACGCCTCTAACTCGCCACCGAAACCGGCGGACACCGGATGTTCTCTCTTCACCACCGGCGACCGAAACGGCGGTTGAAAACCGAGCGATCGAGAGAGAGAGCGGCGCCTCCAGCGCCGCTTGGATCTGACTTCGATAAGAGCTCACCTCTTGTCGAACCTGGCGCGGTCCAGTCCTTCGGTGCCACACCCGGCGTGGGAGACACATCGGTGACGCAGCGAATAGCGTCTTCGGATGAAGGAGTGAAGGCAAATGTGACGTGACAGCAAGGAGACATGGGTTCAACACTGTGTTCAACATATCTACCACCATCTACTCTACCACCATGATCCACATAATTCCTTTTAGATCCCTATGTTGGGAGGTGTAAACATCCATCGTCATCACAACCCGCACCCTGTGACTGGTCTTCCAGTCTGCCCGCGCCTGCATATGTCTGTTGATCTCCTCCGCCATCTGTCGGCACCTAAGCCCCGGCATAACAGCGACCGACATCAGGGGACCTGTCCGACAGGACGGGGACCAGTGGTAAGGACGCCGTAGATCCGTAGATCCTGCCAAGCTAACCTGACCGTCAGTTCAATGGCGCCATCTTCAAGAAAGGTTATATTCGGTTATATGCTCCATGGGACTGCTATGCCGATCAGTTGGAGTGGTGCCAGGGGGGTGAATGGGGCGGCAGTCCTATGGCAGTTCCATTAGTCGTGTCTGGGAATTGGTCTTCCTAATTAGCGACTTGCAGGACTCCCCGCTTTGGTCCCACACCCCGCATGGATCCGAACAATCCACATCCAAACGACAGCGCCCACGCAAAAGCTTTTCCAGTCACCCGTCGGCTTCCAAAAGCACTGCGTCTGAATTTCGATGCCTAGCTGAACCGTCCGGAGCTCGATCAACTATCTGCGTCAGTCTCATTTCCTATAACCTGTCTGGGACTGCCATAGGACTGCCGCCCGCCCCATTCACCGGCACCAGCCCTGGCCGTTTTGAAGGCAGTCCGGACTGGCAGTCCCAGACAGGTCGTGTCTGGGTATAGGAAATAATGAGACTACGACCTCTGAGGCCCCCCCGAGCTCCGTTCGCCTCCTCCCCTCCTCCCTTCGCGCGCACTTCGCGTCTCCGGGTGGCGTTCCGTCGCTATCGTCCAGATCCCGGGACCAATCGCCGTTGGCTCTCGCCTGAGGTCAGGAAGGTCGCCAGGTGGCCAGCGACTCTGTTGGGAGAAAGAACCAATTCCCAAACACTCCATGAAACTGGCACATGTGGCACATGTACATATACATTGACCCCCCTGGCACCACCCCAATTTAGGCATACATGGCATACATGGAGTGTCTGGGAAATGTTTGACCAGCCTTTGACCAGCTCGGCATTTGGGTGGAGATCTGAGTATACGGTCACGAAGCGACGAAGCGTCTTTCTATTTGGAGAAGGGTGGGTGTCTTAGAGTCTATAGTAAACATCGGTGTATGCGCACCATGCCGGATGGCTGGTAAGGGGAAGCGTGCTGCGAAGCTTCTCAACTCAAACAACACCACACCACAAGGTCAAATCAACACTGAACACTCCTGAAACCACCGATCCAATCCCCAAGCCCTCTGTCAATGAAAGGCTCATTGACCCTCAACCTCATGAGGACTACACATCTTACGAGCATATACTACCGACCCCCATTGGTAAATGCGCCCATCCACAAAACCATCCCGGGGCGGGGTCCACCCAGGTTCATCGCGCCTTAACCGCACTCCGAACACGGCGTTCCGAACGGCGCACGGCCGGCCGGGCACCTCCAAGGTGGCGCGCTTCTCCGAGACGCTGCGCTGCATCTCTTCCATCCTCCGCGCGGAGGCACCGGCGCGGCTGCTCGCGCGGGTGGGTGACCCTCTGAGGGCCGTGGTTGGGCCATTCCGACCGCTTCACCCCTGGCCCCGCGGTGGAAGAACAGTGTTACAACGCGGAACGCGCTCGTTCACCAGCGCGATCCGTCAACAGGCGCTGATGAGCAAGTTGGATGAATGATTATATTATATATGGTATGTTCAACATATATCAACAAATATACTCCCTGGAACTAACCTGGAAATGGAAAGTCACCTGGAAATCCCCTGTTTGGTCTTCGGAACATGCTCTTCCAAGGGTGATATGTCGCCTATCGTCCTCCACTTCCAGGTGTATCGCCAAACTCGCCGAGGGACCGTCGCCAGGTCTTGTCCAAAGCACTCTTCACGGCTTGGGTCCTCAGTTGGAAAACAAGAAACTTGATGTATGAGGGTACAATCCCCTTTGATATTAGCACAGAGGGGTCGTTCCACCCATTCTCTCGAGAATCATCTAGAAAATGAGGGGGCCTGACATCTGGTGTGAGATGTGTGGGGGTACCTAGGAAGAGGGTGTCAGGAAGAGAGTGCCATAGGTTTGCCCTTTGTTTGGATAGACCTGTTCGTCACATCATGATTAATGGCTGCGGCTACAGCATGCTACAGCTTTGAAACGATGTTGTTTTCTTCCATCCATGAAGGCTTGGGGGGATGCTGGACCACTCAATCAGCCATCTCCAATCACCAATGATGCCCGACCTTGGAAAATAGAGTGGTCGGTACCAGGTTCCCTCATACTACCCTTCTCTTGCACCGTTCAAGGTCCACATCCATCCCTCTATCCCTATGGATCTGCCACCGTACCTCAGAAGGTATGACGGGACCCAACAATGGCGCCTACATGAATAGTCTCCCCGCTCACCGTACCGACCTGGTTCGGTATGTGGATCCATATGGTATATGAAAAAAACATCACCCAACTCCATCAACATCCCTTCAAAAGGCCGTGCAAATGGCTCCAGCTCCACCGCCGGTTTTGAGGCTCCACGCTGTTGCTCTTTGGCCACCTTAGGAGCAAAGGGGCTGAAGGTGAACAACACCGAGGTTGCACACCCTCAGCAGGGAGGGACCTTTTTCATAAGCAAATACGGCCACCAAAGGTTCGATGGCACGTACAAACCCCATGTCCTGGACAGATGGGGGTCCATATGTTCACCGACCGACTGGGGTGCCAGTGCCATCTACTCTCACTGTAATAGGTATGGTTTACAAGAAGGTACCTTCTAAAGCAATAGAACATACCGTCCGTACTTTTTTTAAAGGTGACTGCATGATACTGCATGTGACATATAAGGTGACTTTCGGGCCCTTTTCCTTGAATGTTTGACGTCATGATCCTAGATGGGACCCAGCCTTTTTACAGTATATACTGAACGTCTTGCTCAAATGTTCAGGTGCCTTTGGATCTGTGGCAGGTCAACCCATCGAGTCGACCCATCGAATCGACCGTGAGGTCATTTCGATCGATGCATCTTACCGACTTTGCGGGGGCGACCAGATCGGTCGTTTGACCAGGAGTCACAAAGCCCTAACCTCCATGGATAGCACTCCGTCTTGTGACTGCTGGGAGACCTGTTTTGTTGAGTTTCACTCAAGGTCATGTTGTATCTTCCCCATATGGGTAAAATCCTCTTCTGGGGGAAGGTGTTTCCCGGCTCCTGGACGTCTAAGTTGTGGTTGGATCATGTTGGATCCACAGTGATCGCGCCCTTGGAGTAAGCTATAAGTTAGCCCTGCAGCACAATCGCACCTGACCCAGCCGGGGGACCAAGCGAGATGATTTCCAGTGCAGAACCCTAGGAACCGGAGAAGTACACTCCGAGGAAGACGAACATGGAAGTGGAAAGCCACCATGTGTGTGTACATGTGCAGGTGGCCGAGCTTGTGATGACCAATAAAAGAAGTAACACCTGGGCCCCTATTGCACACCTGCACTCCGATTCCTATTCGTTTTTCGAGTGGAAACTCATAGCCGTGCAAGCCACTTCCACGTGAGTCGGGTCAATAACATGTGCCTGTGCCACTGAGTGTCCCTTCGCCACATTTCGCCACATGGTTCACCCCCCTTTGACACTCCTTACTCAGCTTCATACGACCTTCTGATGGAGCTCATACTCCTTCCCGGGCTCCGCATGCTCCACACGGCCCGAAACAGCTTGGAGGGAGCGGGGCACTCACAGGATTACAAGAACTTCTTGAAGTACCTGAAATACCTGAAGCCTCTGTAGCGGGACAAGAACACCAGTGCTGGCCTTCAAAAAAAACACTAATTTAAGGTGACCTAGGTCACACGTGGTGACCTACTCTGACATACTCAAGCCCTTTTCAAATCCGGTCATTGAACCAACCACCAGGTGACCCACTCAAACTTCTGAACTCCACTACAGGTTTCATGTGACTTGAGGGTCTCGGCAACAGCGGCCGTTCCGGAACCGGCTCCGATGGGGCCATCGTCGTAGCTCCTCAGGTTCGGTATGACTGGACCCGACAATGGCACCCACCCCAGTCCCACCTTCTCAGGTTCGGTATGACTGCAGCCCTTTAGGGATGGTTATCCATGTTCTCCTCTTGCTTGCACGCTTCCAAGTGCCGCCGTCTCGACTTCCTCCGTGGCGGCGCATTGCGGCTGGGCGGCGCATTGCAGCTTTGAGGAGAACTGCCAACGCATCCAAACCAACGAGCGCCTCCAAGTGAAGGTTGAACATAGAAATATCCGAAACCACCACCCTAGTCACGATGATGGCACAAGATTGCGCAAGAAGTAGCCCACAGCCCACCCTCCTGGCAAAACTGGTCCGTGCATTGAATAAGCAATTCCATTTGCCCTTGTCGTTCTTCAATGGCTGGAGAATCTACCAGGTTGAAAACAACACTAGATGTACCAATCCTCCAAAGACTGTAGATCGAAATAGAACTTCCCCATTCTTGGACACCATGTCCGTACATCCTCTTCTTCCTGAACAAAGAACTAATGCCAAGGTTCACCCCCATACCCAGTGCTTTTCTCACCTCTGGCAAAGCTGCCAAATGCTCCACTGACTCCACCAGTTTCCCTGGAAAATACAGTAAAGGTTGCAATAACCTTTTTCTATATACCTGTTCTTGCGCAGTGGGGGCACCACTCCCCAAAACAACGGTTAATGAAAGGTTATCCACTGACTGGCACTGGGTATCAAAGACAAACGTGTCGAACTTCCGTCCGGGACGATGGGTCCCCAACGGATCCTTTTCAATACCCAGACGCGACCTGTCTGGGACTCCCAGTCCGGACTGCCTTCAAAACGGCCAGGGATGGTGGGGTGCCAGGGGGGGGGGTCGACCTCTGGGGCGGCAGTCCGTCCTGGCAGTCCCTTGGAGTTTTTTGGGATATATGACACCGCAAGATCCAGGGTTCGCATTGTTCCACCAGGTAGTTAAGGGCTTCTCCATGGTTCGCCCAGTGACTGTGTCAGCCCTCTGGCAGCTCTGGCAGCTCTGAGCTCCAGGCCACGCAGATTTGGCTTCCTGCCAGGCTCTGCGGTCGCTTGCGCTGGGCGCCCAAAGAATTGGAGACAGAAGACACAGGAGACGACTGGAGACACAGACATGTCCAACAGGTCTCATTTCCGGAGATGGTCCCTGGGAAGGAGACATGATGGGTTATCCCTTAATGTATTCTTTAAAAGATCTCTGGATGGTAAAATGGACAACATCCGACAAGCATCTCCACCCAAGTTGCTTCTTGCAATCAAGAGATCTAGTTGGGGCCAGTTACTAGTTGGGGGCGATACCTATGTTGTTTGGCTTTGGATCTTTTTGTTTTTGGTTTCGTTGGATCCCTCACCCGTTGGGAATCTAATGCCACTCACCCCTCAGTGAACCCGCGGTCGACTCCCACCGCTCCGCAGGACGAAGCAGAGTCCTCCACTTGCCGCTGCAGATGTTGCACCAGCAAGTCATACCTCAAAAGCAAAGGAGGCCTGACACCTGGGTCAATTTTCCCATCGTTGACCCAGGTGTGGATTGACCCAGGTGTCGCCTCCTCACAAGATGGGTCTATTCCCACATCGTGGAATTTGTTCCCCATCTTGTGTGTCGCTGGTCTTCTACCTGAGAAGAAGAACGAGACCATGGTTTCCTGATCACCGGTGTGTCTCATGGGACTTCCACGGTGTCGATCGCCCCACATCGCCCGGTCCGATTTCAGGTCGACACGATCGTGGAGGAGCTGGAGATTCCAATGCATCTGGTGTCGCTCTCGTTGGCATACCGTTTTCAACGTGCATCATGTAGACTCTTGAGGACCATAAACCCCCCATATGAAGAGCATGTCCAATTCAAATGCGTCATTGTATCAAGAGTTTACATTACCAGGAGTGTCCAGAAAACTCAACTCTCTGGACAAGACTGAAAGCCATTTCGAAAGCCATTTCGGTGTGTGGGTGAAAGTTTCCCCAAACATCCACCTCAGTTATCCCACTTTTGCCACACTTGGGGTTTGGAAGGGCGGCATATGTTGCATCCGCCTTCGTTCTTCTTTTGGACCATTTGTCCCAAACGCCACTGATGCCAACATGGTCTCTCTACATCCTTGTCCACTTCCTCCTTCATTCTAGGCATTCCATGTGCCTTCCTTCCATGTTCATCCACTTTCCACCTGCTCCACCTACCAGCATTCAGCCCTCCCGTGCCCGAGCTCCGTACTGGCGGGAGTGGAGCTGTTGCAGCCGTTGGATCTCATCCTCGCTTCGTTCCACCTGTGGGGAGAAACGAAGCCGCACGGTGAGGATTGGGGTGAGGCCATTGGAAGGAGTTTGGATCCATGTTATTACATCACTTACTCCAGAGTAATGGATCTTGGATGATCTTGGGGATTACCCCAGTGATCCATATTACCCCAGTGATTGGAAGGAGTTTGCCATTACTCTTGGAAATATATACGTTGGGGGATCTTTAGGGGACATATACGGACTGTACGATGGCCATTGCAGCAATAACTAGCAATCATCTCCATGCAAAAGCTTGGAGCTGTCGAGAACACAACAGCCACAGAATATGTTTGGTAATTAGCTTGCATCCAAATTATCCATGTCCGATGGAGCTTCCTGTGGGGTTCTTTACAGCTCCTGCAGTCCAATCGGTCATTCTTTTTAGCGCTGGCTGGTGTCCTCTTAGTGCCAGCGCTGGTGCTGTTGGGATAGTCATTTGCTCATCTCAAAGAACTGCAAAACAAGGAGCCAAATCTGCTTCTGCTGTCAACAAGGTCGATATATGTGTTTTGTTCTGCACGTCCAAAAGCTGCATGTATTCACAGAGTGTGGTCTCTTAAAGCTATGAATCGCGGTCACTCAACTTAGTTCTTCAAGCCGTGATCTTTTTGAACACCATTACATTCTTCCAGGAGTCACAAGACGGGGCGGTGTTTAGTTCCCAAGTGAGTGGATGTGACAGGGGCACCCCTAACTTCCATGGATAGCACCCCGTCGAAGGTGACTGGAGGTTCACGTGCGCCCTGAATGCCAAACCGCTTCGCTTCGCTTTGGCACGTCGATCGAGCAGATCTCGCTCGTTCTTTCAGCACCTCTTCGTCTTGAAGTTGCTGCAGCTTCACAGCTTCGGTGCGGCTTGAAAACAGCGCTTCGCGCTTTTCTCATGGGGATGACCCAGGCGAAAATAGTAATGACCTTCGTTCCATGGCTGTGCCTTCCTGATATTGAAGAACAACACTTAAAGGAGCAAGGCCCAACCTAAATAATTGTTGGGGAATTCATGTGACCACCGTGGAGGGCCTGCTCATGTTTCTGGCCTAGGCAGGTGGGAAGACCATTGTGCTTGCAATTTTTAGGGCCTGGACCTCCGCGGTGTCTTGGAAAAAGGGCATTTCCAGATTCTGACCCATCTGTGATCTGTTGTGATCTGATTTGATTCTTCGACATCTGATCACCTTTGGATTTCGGGGGTGGCAACTACACAGCAATTCTGGCCCTACCTGTGGGTAAGGAATTTGGCGACTCTTTCTGTGTCCGGCAACGTCTTGGATCATCCCCATTGGGTCGTTTTCGGGAAAAAAGGCTTCAAACGGGGTCCTCGCCTTCCTTCTCTGCTGCCACACAGCCATCCTAAATCCAGCGAGGAAAGGATGGGAGGCACTTAGGAGGCATCTGCCTGCCTCAGAAAAAGGGGGTTCCTACTCCAAAAACACATCCATGTATGCTGTCCATCAGGCAAGTTTGTTGCACATTGAGAATGGAGCCTGGAAGCCTGAAGAGTCTAAAAATCTGTTCAGTGGCAGTTGAGGTGGCAAAATGGGAGACACAGTGAGAGACACGTTGTCTATCTGTGTCCACAAGAAAATAACTATATACGTACAGTATATAATATGTAACTGTATAGCAATAGAAACCACAAATAATAATAACGTTGAACCTTTCAATGTTGATATCAATGCTACTTCTATTCATCTCTTTGAGAACAGCACTTGTTGCATGCCATCATGTATGTAGTAACATACACATTTCTGCCGCACAGGCAACCTGGGATCATCCTTTCCGCTCTGAACAAAGCCTGGAGCCGAGCATCTTGTTGGTGTTCCAAACAGGTAGGCTCCGCAGTGCTTTCCAGGCAAGGTTGCGTTGGGCGGTTGCTGGCCTCTTGTGAAGCATGCACGTGGGTGCACCAGCCTGGGCCCTTTCTAAAATACATGCACACTTAAACACCTATTGATTGATTATGCAAATTGACATGTGGGGTCCATTGTTTTCACCGTACTCACCGGACTTGGACTATCTCATGGAACAGAACTAGACTGCGCACACATGGCAAGGATCGACCGGTGTGCAGCAGTACAACAGCAAAAACCGATGTGACACCCATCGAAGACATATGAAGAAATGCTGTCCATTTGCGGTTGGGCATCTCTGACAGGACAACATGGCTGCGGGTCATGGATCACAAACTAATGTGAAACCAGTGCAGCAAGGGATGATGTGCTGATCGTTTGTTGTTCCAGGGCCCCGCTGAAACAGGAATGTAGCGTGTTCCAGACCAACTCGGGCCACAATAGTTCCCAAACTTGTTCAGGAATCTCGGCACCGCCTCTGACAACAGAAGCCACAAAATGCTGCTGCGACAGAAGCCACGACGACAGCTTGGGGAAAGCTTTAAAGTGCACGGTGCGGAATTTAAGTCCATAGACACTCCATGTATGCCATATATGCCTACATTGACCCCCAAAACCACCCCAATAGGCTATATGGCCCACATGGAGTGTGTGGGATAATAGTCTATTAGTCCATAATGGTCCGGAAGTGCGGATAGAGAGTATGACTTAGCAAAAAGTCTTCAGTATGACTTCGCCAAAAACGGAACCATTTGCATCCAATTGATCTAAAGTCTTCCACCCCAACCCTCCACCCCTCGCGTGTTCTCCCACCCACCCACCCACCCAACACTGCGCCGTCTCACCTCGCCTCCTTTTCCTTCAGCGCCGTCTCCTCGGAGATTGCCAAGGCACGTTGCGACTCCTAAAGGCGCAGCTCGCGGCAGGTTGGTGATGACTTAGACCCGAGTAGACCGGCACGTGTCCCCAAGACCATCGAAATGGAGGAGCCCGGCAGGGAGGAACACGCGAAAAACACACAGCGGGAGCTTGGAACTGAAGGACCAGAACTTAGGACCAGAAGCGAGCCGGGTCCTGCCCAAGAGTTATGAGATTTTGAAATGATTTGTTGATAATTTATTAAAGGAGCCCCGATGGGGATTTCTCTATACCCTCCTTTCAGCACATCGCCATCGAATGCGGAAATTCCGCTTTCGCTCTCCCTCTCCGGCCTTTGTGCGCTTGTCGACGTCGTGAGGCAGGACCTTGTGGGGGAAGGTGCGGCCATCTCCACTTGGTGGACAGGCCGGGAACAACCTCGGTGGACGCGTCGACTTCCGCGTGGTGGGACGCTCTGTGCGGCCACGGGAGTCCGACGGCCACGGGAGTCTGACGTGTGTTTCTCCGAAGTACGTGGCTTTCTGATGTTGCAACATGTGACCGATCTTGTTGAGGATCCGAATGCCTATTAGGGTCACCTTCCAACTCTGATTGCCTACGACTAACTCATCAATTTCAAGGGCGAAAGGCCTTTCCGGCACAGCCTCTCTCTCTCCACATCTGTCCACACCTTCAAAGGGCACCGCATGGCCATGCCTGGCGCCTTTCAATTCTCCGACACCGAGCGGTTGAGCGACGCCTCCGACCCGTCTGGGGCTGCCAGGACGGACTGCCGCCCCAGAGGCCGACCCCCCCTGGCACCACCACCCCGGGAAAGGCTGTTTTGAAGGCAGTCCAGCCCCAGCTCGGTCGTGTCGGCAGCTTCCATCAACCCGAGGCCCAACAAGTATGCCAAGAGGCCAAAAGAGCGGAATGCTCCCGAGGGCTGCTTGCAAATTACCACACCTCAGGTCCACCGTGGAGTGGTCGAGATCGACGGACCGTGGATTGGTCCTTGGACGTGTCAACATGTCGGTGTTTTGAGGCTTAGTCTGGCTTAGGCTTAGTCTGGTGGCAGTGTTTTATGATGTTTTAGAGTGGTTTGTCATGATTTGAGAATCGATGGCACAATCCCGCCAGTTCGGTTTGTATGGATCCCCATCTGTCACATCTTCGGGTGCCATCGAACCTCTGAAACCACTGTGTTACATGTCTTTCAGACTTAAGCCCTCGATATCCCCATGTTGTTTAAGTGTAAGGCATGTTTTTGTTGCGTCCTGGAGGAAAGTGATGCTTCTAGTGGAGGATGCTGTCCTATGATGTCCTGTGCAAACCAAAGTTGTCCAGGAGTCAGCCAAGTGTGTCCCGCACAGGGACCCGCTTCACTCGAAACCATGCTGCGCCCGTGCCCGTGCGGTCGACCAGCTGAACGGTGCTTCCAAGTGACAGGCCTTGGTCGAAACTGACCTTCTTCTCATATTTTTCCTTTTTTTCGTTCCTGCAAAGTCCCCAAGCTTCAAGCTGCGGTCCCCAAGCTTGTATAAAGTCTACGAATTGTGTAGAAAAACAGTTCATGTTCACCTTCTATTGCCTTGCTTGTTGTGAAGAGTGTAGGTTTGATTTAAGTTCGACTATCTTGAATCTTGAGGTCAGTGCTCCTAGTCAAGAAGAGTGTCAAGAAGCTGGTTTGCATCTACTCAACATCTGGACTTCCCCACGTCTCCGGTCTACCCGTCTCCCGAAGTCGCCCGGTCGGTTTTCCGCTTGAAAACGGCCCATGAGGCCTGGTGAGGAATTCGATGGTGGTCATTCCAATGGCACACAAGTAGAGGTGGAAGGCTGCGAAGGCCGTCATCGTGCCAGCTAAGGCTATGACCAAGGCTTCCTCACCAAGGCTGCCGCTGTGAGGAGATGGATAGGCTGTGAGGAGATGGATGGGCCTGGGGAGAATGATCCGCTGGGTTGGTCTTGGTGTACTATGTTGATGAATGTCTTGTCTAGCTTCCTGGAAGGAACCACCTTTCTTGATGCATCGAGCTAAGCAGGTTGGAAGGCTCCCTGATTTGGACATGGAGGATTGTTGGGTCAAGAACTGTTGCACGGGCGACTGGACACTCGCCGCTGCGTTGCAGCTCACCTATGCAAGACTTGCCTAAGGATTCCTCACTGTGGATGTCACGAAAGCAACATGAACCGAGTCAACCTCCCATTGAGATGAGGTTTCGACCCACAGCCACACATATAATAGATCGCAAAGAAGGCCTCTGAGCAACCTACCTAGAGAAATCCCCTTGTTCCCCTAGACCTCCTATAGATTTATGTAATAAGAAGGCCCCTTGTTCCAAATCCCTAGACCAACCTACTCCCCCCTGTTCCACTTGTAGCCGCTGAGCTGCGGTGGAGACTAACCAAAGCTTGGTCCAAAAGGTGATCTCTCCATGGAAGGCCTGAAGACGAGGCCTTCCAGTCAGGCGCTGGAGGCTCAGAGTATTGGTGAACCTTCCAAAGGCTTCGGAAGGTGGAGAGTTTGTATATATGGGTGACAACCTGTAGGACTGCCTTGGAACAAGCAACCAAGTTGATATGACAACCTGGGTGACCACCCCGAAAACGATCCCCTGGGAACAGGCCACCAACGCAACCAAACTTAGACTAAATCCGCTTGGTTGGCTATAATATATATATATATGTATATATATATATTCTATCCATCTGGAGACCATTGGAGAGTCCCCCAAGAAGAGATCTGAAGTCGGAAGGTGCTCTCCAAGCGGTTGCAGCAAAATGTGCAGCTTGGCTGAGGGTGGGTCCCTTTCCGAGGCTCTTAGCCGGCACTTGGCATGGTGCACAGGGATGGAGGCTATACTACCCTCAAATGACATAGTTCCGCGGCTTGTGAGATGGGTGCTTGTGCTAAATGCTCCAGTGGAAATCAGAATTCTCCTGTGAAAACAGGGTTCGGTGCTGAATTCTGTGGATGGAACCGATTTCCCACTCGATTCTCCACGCGTCCTCGGTGGATGTGACAGGGTCCCAGGGTGGCCGTTTCACACACCGTGGTGCGGTCCAGACTTCTGTGTATCCTATTGACCTGGGCCCAGTGGATGACGGTTACTAAAGGCCTTGTTCGAAAATAGTGAGGTTCTTGTCCACTGACTGTTACAGGTAAGTTCGGACAGACCCACACATACCCACACCATATCATTCACCCAAATCCACACAAAAGGCTTCACAACTTCCTACATCTTCTCCCCAGTTCCCAAGCGTTTCCCAGAACTGACGAGACCAACCGCTCGTTCACTTGTTGAATTGAGGGTCACATGACCAAAAAAATAAAAACATGTGGAGACCATGCCGGGGACCCTGGTGCCATTCTAAGCCTATACAGGATTGAGAACCACAGTGTTCTCAAAACAATGAAAGGCCGGCCAGGGCTGCCTTTCCATGCAGGGCTACTGACTCCCTCAGTTCTGCTGACTCCCTCAGTTCTGCTGACTCCCTTAGTTCTGCTGACTCCCTCAGTTTGGCCAGTTATGAAGGGGAAGCAGGTTTTAACCGTTAAAACGGTCGCAGGGGGGTTCCACCCATCATCCACTGAAAGGGCCGGTGAACATCAGCTCACTTCAGCTCACCGCCCAAGTAAAGGTTGAACATCAAACACCACCCAGACCTTGTGATGCCGAAAACGGGTGGCGTGGAGCTTCGAGAATGTTTTCCCGCCACCAGCCATAGCTGGCTATAGCATCACACCTTTGAAGAAATGCTAAACATCTAAGTCGACAAGTGAAGGTTGTCTGCATGTCACCTCCAAGCGGCTCTGACAGTAAAAAGCATCAAAGTCACTGCCTTGAAGAGTAAAGCTACCTGCACCATGTCCGGGGCAAGTACCAGGGCCAGGGAGTCCGCTAGAAGATATACATGCATCCATCTTGAATGCTCAACAAAATTTCAGTCACCAAACAAATCAAACAAACTGACAGCAAGCAAACGCAAAATAATCTCCCCAATACACCCCTGCCCGCCGCGGAGTAGGTAATGAAGGCGACAAAGTATTTGTAATTCCCAAAGCCTCATCCGATTGCTCATGCGACGAATCAGCAAGCACGTGAATCATGGTCAACGTTCATAATTCCTTTCTAGCGACTTCATGCTGTGTGCCAAGGAGCCAAAACGAAGAACGGATAGAAGTTCAACCCAGGCTATACATGTATATACTATATATATATATATCCCCACTCACTCTCCCATTCCCTGTACCAGTGGATGACAATGGTTAATGGCATTCTCAAAATATGTGATCATGTTCAACCCGATGGTGACTGGTTTATAGCTGTAGACATGAACACACCACAGTGACTGGTTGGCTATGGCGGCTATGACTGGTTTTGCCGATGGGTCCACCGATCCCCTCAGATCTCGTTCTCAGGGTCCATCTCCTGGGTCCAAACCCCACCTGACCTACACGGACCATGTGTATCCATGTGTGCCACAGACCTACACGTCACGCGCAGAGCCGAGCACCAATCAACTAGTTGACACAGTTGCTTCAATGATCCGAACTCCCACCTTGGAGCGAAAAAAACCGCCGCCAACCACCGAAACGGTGATCGCATCCGAAGCCACCCTGACGTGGTCACGTGCGCATCCGTCGCGGTCGGCGAGAAACCGATGCATTGCCGAAGCCAAGGGCAGTGGTGGTCCATGCGCAAGACGCAGGCGCCGCACTTGGTGCAATGCCGACACCGCTGAGGTTTCCTCGCTGGAGATCGATCTCAAGGCGCGGGAGAGGTGGGGGTAGATGGCATAGTCAAGTCATAGTATGTCATAGTTGTCTCACTCGATTTTATATGGTGAACAAATCTAGATGAACGACACTCACAACATCTCACAACCTATTTAATACGGCTCTATGCCACCCTCTCTTGAAACCTTTGCTAGGTCTGAAGGCCAACGAAAAAACCCGTTGACAGGAACCGACATACAAAACTTGTGTCTGGTCTGGTCACCAGTTCCCAACAATCCGCTGTCAACAAAGCTTAAGCTTTACTATTCCATCCAACCCACTGAGGCGGGCCCAGTTCCCATTCGAATTTTCACAGAACCTGCGATGAGGTACTGCGATGACCTCGCATCAACCTGGTTGACCCGCATCCACCTTCAGGCACCCTTCGCAGATGTACCAGGTTGCTGGACCAATGTCCATTTTTGTTCAGGGTTTCAGTTTCAGAGGTTCGATGGCACTGGCACCAAAACAAATGTCCTAGACCAATGGGGGGTCCATATCAACCACTCCGTGGGAGAGCACCAGGCGTTTGGCCAACTCCCTCGACCGACAGCAACGTGACGCAGCAACGTGAGTCACGGCATTCGTCCCTGGAGGCTGAATGAGCCGGACCTAGACCGCCACCTTGCCCTCCAAGAGTCTGCGACTGGCAAAACACACCTGGGCCACAAGGGAGAACAAAGTGCAAACTTCACAACCGTGTGAGTATGGCCCAAGCTCACCCAAGTCTGGTAGCCTTTCCTATTTATTTTCCCTGTCATCACTATACAGTACAGTCAGTACAGTATGTAGGTCTTGGGAAAACCCTTCCCAAAATGGAGTTGCAAAAGAGTCTTAAACATCTTAGACTCATTCAAAAGACTTTGAAAGGACATCTGTGCTTTTGCTTATGTTTGGACCCTCAAGTGGGGGACCAAGCAGCAAAGGAATATGAAGCCATGTAGAACTTGCTGCATATAATGACCCGCGCAGGTACTCATATGTATACGATGGGTTTGGTGGACCAAACGGACTATTAGATCCTGGGCAGGTTGCTGGTAACAAAATTAAAGATGACATATTCGACCCCCACGAAGGCATATCGGTGAGGCACGGTTGCTTCTCGCCGGCCCTGGAGGGCGGAGGCTCCTCGCTACTGAAGAAACGGCCGGCAACCCCGAGCCGTTGTCTGCCTCCCAACATCTGCATCACCGGTGAAGCAAGGCACTGGCAAAACACATCGGACGCACACCTTCATGCTGTGAATATCCAGAACCGTGAAGCCACAAACCACTGTTTTTTGCATCCTCAAACACAAGAACTCCGGCCAGTTCGTCCGCCAAGCCGCAAAAGACCTGATTATTCGGCCGCGGCTTGGGGGAAAGCATTTCGGACTCAAAGTCCTTCGGTTTCCCAGGCCTGGCCGAACATGGAGCACGTCGGGCAGGCGGGTCGCACGTCGGTAGGTAGGAGACGGGGGAGCCATGTACGGTGTGAAGGAGGTGGGGAAGACTTGCTCTCAGGTCCTTCTGACTAGTTCACGAATCTTATCAAAAAGAATCCACAAAAAAGAACATCTGGGGGAATTCTGACTGGATTCGTCATGGGATCTTTGATGCAGGTTGCTGCTTTCTGGTATTCCCCACCTACTGTACCTACTGGCGTCCCAAGGCCCTGACTCTATCGCCCCTGCTTCTAGGACCAGCCTTCTTCGACCTATAGGACCCAACACCGGCCGCCCATGCGCCGAGGCGCAGGAGCCCACGACCGGTCCGGTCCGCCCGAACCGCGGCCTGGTGCATAGGACGCGGAGGAAGGACGAGAACCACAGCGTCACCAGGACCAAATAGGTCACCTGGACCATCACGGGCGCCGGAACGGGTCGGCGGGTCCGGAACGGGTCGTTTTCTCGGATGTCCGCGGAGTCAGGTCGGCGCCTGCAAGGGGAAGGGCAGATCCATTTCCACGGAGAGGTCCACGGAACCGATGAAGTGCGTGAGGTTGTAGACCACCACAATCCACCTCGACATATCGCACATGTTTGCATATATCCTTCGGCTGGAATATGAACTATCGATTTCTTGCTGCCATCTGCCTGTTACTCGGTCCATCTGAGTCCGTCCAGCTGCCCGACGAGAACGTGTGCGGGCATGGATGAGACGAGCGAATCCGTCCTCGCCCGAAGTCAGTGCATCCGAGACACAGTGTTGACAAAAAACAAATGTAAACATATATATATATAATCCGTAGGGTTCTCAACCAGTATGAAAAGGTAAACATATATAATCCCTAGGGCTCCAAATACCTTCTGAGAAGGTGTTTGGGGTGGGTTTAGAGGGTCCAAATACCTTCTGAGGAGGTACTTGGAGCCCTATAGGGAAACTATGATTATCAAAAAAGAGCCGCTGACCATCAAACAACTTGTTGCCATGTAGCTGCTTCAGTTGCTTTCACCACCAAACAACATCAAGCAACACTAAAAACACACCGGAACCGTCAAAAAAACACCACACCGGCCAAGTGACAGGATGGTGGACTGCAAATAGACCACCGGAGCCCAGGACATGATGCCAGCGGTCGCCAGCGGCTGCAATCCCCAAATCCCCACCACATCAGTGCCTCCTCGGGCGGAGCGGAGCTGCGGCACGGTGTGGGAGAACAAGTAGCTAAGTAGCTGTGGAAGAACAAGTAGCTTGTGTGAAGGTTGGAGAAACATCATCAAACATCAAACTGGGAAGGTTGGAGAATTCGGAGAGTGTTATTTTGCTGGTGTCCGTGTGATTTTTGAGGGAACTCAGACTGGCTCCACCTGGAGCCCTCCAGGTTGCTCTCAAGCTGGTGGATGCCTCTTTCCCATCAAGGAGCCGGTCACCCAAGGGGCCAACTGATCTGGGACGTGTGTTCTCTGGGGGCTCCACTGATCAGGTTGTAGCAGTCAGAACTGGAGACAACAGGAGATGCACAACTCGGTGAGGTTTCAGCAGCCCGGGGAGCACCTAGTCACCTAGTCAAACCACTCCCTGGAACAATCATGGAAGTGGAAAAAGGCCCTGGAAAATGATGTGATTCTCCTCTACAGGCAGTGGTTGTCCACTTCCATGATTACTTCAAGGGGTGTATCAGTGCACCAATTGGTTGCATGAGGTTCTCTTCAAATCAAACCCTCTTCCCTCACCTTTGTCGGCGTAGTCTGATTGCAGTCGATTGGATGGCCTAGGATTGACTGCGCCAATCACTCACGAAAACACACCGTGACTTGTCCATGAAGGGGTCCAAAAGCCGGCCATGCCGGGCCCTTGGACTGCGACACCGCGTTGAAGGCACTGATTAGGTCACCATCGCAATGGGCAGTATGGCATGCCAAGATGCCATGCTGGAGTACAAACAAGGTTGTTTGACCATGTTTGACCAAGAGTGATCCTTCACAATTGGTAACAAACACACCTTCATCCAGCTGGGATGAACCAAACAAACGTGATGCCCTGTTTTGGGCCTCCATGGCCCACGTTGCACTGTTGGTACTGTTGAGAATTATATATGTTGGACCACCAACCACCCAATATATGGTCTTTTCCCATCAAAACAGAGGTAAATGGGTTCCAGGTATATATAATTAATTCATTAAGCATCAATGGGACTCTCAACAAAGGAGGCAAAGTCAAACCCACCCTTTACAGCTCGAGTGATGCCAATTGTTTTTCACAGCTCTTGGATGTGTCTTGGGATGGGACGAACATGCCACACACACATACTTGGATTTGCCGTCGAACCCGGCAATAATATATAAACAATTCCATACAATTCCACAGAAGGGGATTTAACCAAAGGGAAAATAAAACACCATACAATCACCTTTAGCAAAACCTGGCATATGTCACATCCCTTGCTAACATATGCTACCTTGCCCTCAGCCTGTCCATCTTTCAGTCATCATTCTTGTCGGGTATCCGATCCAAAGTGCCAGCAAGGAGATGGCAGTCAAACAAAGAGCCACATTCCTCACCCAGCGTCTCACGTGACCGATGACCGAAGGCTCCCAGTCACCCCAGTCAGCCGGCCCTCGAGGCCGGCCGAAGAGCTCCCACCCTGAGGTCGGCCTCAACCCTGGGATCTACTTCATCGAGCCGTTTTGTGCCTCGTTTTGGCTTAACCACCTTTTCCTAAGAGACACTCATCAGTAATGAATCTAGATGAATCTAGTAATGAATGCAGAACACATCTTTCGTCTTTCTATGTCATATCATATTCTTGGCATGTTTTTCGACTGCTATGGCTAGAAGAAATCATATGTTTCATCCGGGATATTTGTCCCTGGCCCCTTGGAGGCCGATCCCTTAAGGGTTGACCCCATGAGGCCAGAACCCTCCTCATGATTCTTCCACCTGGAGGTCCTGGCCCTTGGCTCAGGGCGATTTCGCATGCTGCGCAGTGGATGTGCTGCTACTGGTCACCAGTGAGCCTTTAAAAATAACTGTGATGATACCTGATGACATATGTGAGATACCTAATCATTATAATGGCATACAGCCAGAACCACTATATGATGAGACACTATATGACATCGTGAGATCCGACCGGTGGCCGGGACAGTGTAAGCTCCACGTTCCGGCTCCCTATCGGCCCTATCACTTCGCCCAGCTGCTCGAAGAAGTCCATAACGTCCTGGGAGGGGAGTCGCCGACTCAGCGCGTCCAACATACAAAACCAACCTGAATTTCCCTGCTAGAAGACATGGAAGTGGAGTTCACCCCCTGCTTGCTGTTCGGATTTAATTTAATGTTTTTTTTTAATAAGGGGGCCGTGCCATCCACTTCCAATGATTGTTAGAGACAGAACGACAAGATTGATTTTAGCTATTTCATATTGATTCATATTGTGCTTCCTACGTGGGAGATTGTGGGAGCAATCACATGATAAACAATGCCTGACGGTGTGCGCCGACTATTGAAAGAAACGACAATGGGTCTGTTTCTGGTCAAAGTCGTTTGAGGCACTTCCATCGTCCTCGGTGTCCCACCTCAGCTACATCACAAGACCTTGTCCAAAACCTCTTGGTTGCAATCCCACTTGAACCATCCACCCATCCATCCATCCATTTTGGGGCCCTGGTCATGGTCATATCGCTCACCCAAGAAAGATATTAGCTCTATCTAATACAAAAACAACACCCACTAAAAGCCTTCCCTCTCTCCTTCGTTTCCGCGCAGGGCGATGGAACGAAATTCCACGCGCGCTACTCCGCTACTCCGCCTCCGCGGGCGCTCCGGCTTCCGCGCGATGGCTGCGCTACTCTCCGGTCCGATGTCCTCGTCCATCTCCTCGAGGCGCCGCAGAAGCAGAAAGGCCACGAGGGCTGGCAGCATCCCCACGAGCACGGTGTACCAAAGGGCCTGTCGACCGATCGGGACCGATCCGGACCAAGGCGCGGAAAGAAAGGACGGATCGATCCACGCCTCGGGTGACGGGACAATGCGGTGACAGTGTCGGCGACATGGGTCCGATTCCTAGAGGTGATGTGTGTTGCGAAAGGTGCCGCTTTTTGGGTTGAAAGGATGAAGGGCAAGCTTTGGGATGGGATGAAGGGCTTTTTGATTGGGGAGGGGCCATTAAGCAAAGGAAAAGAACATATTGCAGGTCAGGACGGGGACAGGCCCCATGTCAAGAGGTTAAGGTGGAGCCATGAGACCCCACGGTCCCCCGCCTGCATGAAGGGCTTTCGTGACCTGGGGATCGTGGGTACCGCGGCCACAAAAGAGAGGAGCACGCAAAGGATCACGCTCGAGAAGTAGAGAGCCTCGAAGGTTGGAGGATAGGCGACTGGAGGATCAGCATAGCTTGGGGTGAATCCTGAAGTTTCAAACAGAGTCTATGTCTAGTGGTCCCCAAATAGATAGTGGCACTGTGTCCAATGAATTTTGAAAGGGATTTTACTTTTCTATCTATTTGGGTGTTTATTTTGAGCATTCGATTTGGACCATGATGCACCATGTGCAGCTGCGATGCTGGTCAGATGTGTGACTAGTGGAAACACCTGGAATAAGAGCAATTGAACAAAGCTCATGGACATCTGTCCACCAGCCCTTTTCAAAAGTCTGTGCACTACAAAACCAAGTCAACGGAAATGCATATGTTGCATAGGCACCGAGCTTCCATCGGGTCATTGTGCCCAGCTACCACTTTAAGGGCTGGGTGGGTGTGCGTGCTCCATGAAGGGTCTCTCTCGAACCTTTTCCGGTAGTGTGGCCACCCAACTTTCTAAAGATGTTACTCATGCAATAAAACCCATTACCAGGACCTTCAAAGTGACCTCTTTGGAGTCTCTAAGCGACCTCCATGTGGGAACTAAGAGGTCACTTTGAAGGTCCTGAAATAAATGTGCTTACCTCAGAAGGTATTTGGACCCTCTAAACCCACCCCAAAAACACCTTCTCAGAAGGTATTTGGAGCCTTATATATGTTTATCTTTTTCATACTTGTTGAGAATCTCAGGTCCAAGCCACGAAAGCCCACAGGCCCCAGTCCGGTCGCCATCGGCACCAACAGATCAGCCCAGCAGAGATGGCCCAAAACAGCAGCAGCAGCACCGCCACTCGGGCAGGTGAGCCCTCCTGAAGTTCATGTTCGCTTGGGAAGCTTCGCCCCTCAAATGAGGAACACTTGGGAAGCGTGGCACCCCACGCAGCCATGGAATTCACTCATGCAGCCATGCCCCCCGGAGTCTGTGAACCTTCGTCAGGTGAGTGTGCACCCCATGGAGATGCAAGGATGTGCCGTTCAGATCACATGTCCCTGATCCTGTGGAATATACACGTGTGAAAACCGTGCATCTTATTATGCCTTCTGGTGACAGTGAAGGGCACATAGTTGACATATATTGCATGGTACAACAATTTGTTGGGGGTGTGGTGGGTGGTGCCTGCAAATGGATATCTCACCCCCACCTTCTGTAGAATGCAGAACTGTATCTCGTGTTTTCTGGCACATTTTAGACGATTTAGACGCATGTTGTCGTCATATATATAGTCTGCATGCCAGTGTATTCAACCTAGGTGCGCCAGTGAGAAAAAAATAAGTCGTCTCCCAATCCTGGATCCACATTACCGAACCAGGTCGGCACGGCGAGCAGGGAGACAAGTTGTATGTAAGCGCCAGCCAGTCGGGTCCCGTCATACCGAACCAGGTCGGTACGGTGGCAGTGGATCCATAGCCCAAACACTCCATGGGACTGCCATAGGACTACGCCTTCAAAACGGCCTTTCCCGGGGTGGTGCCAGGGGGGTCGACCGTCCGTCCTATGGCAGTGGCCAGGCCGTGTCTGGGATAGGGACTTGGACCTTCTGCGACCCGTCCACCGGTCCACCGGTCCGGTGACGTCCATCGAGTCATCTCCGCTCCTTCGACTCCGGAGCTTTCTCCATGGCGAGGAGCGTCGCGTCGCGGTTGGAGAAAGGAAACACCAGGGATCAAAACCACCTATAGCGAAAACCACCTGGACCTTATGCCCTGGTCTTCCTCGACGGTATTTGGCATCCTTTCAAATCCTAGGGTGTGTCTATATGGATATTCTATTCTGTCTTTAACTTGGGTGACCAGTGATCTCAAATTCTTTGGGAAGTTTGATCTTCGGTGTTTCTTGAGTCACGGCCCAGAACTCGGCGAAGAGTCCCAGAACTCGGTTGTATCACCTATTATACAATAACTAATCGGAGCTCTTGGAACACCAACTCCTTGCTTGCAAAGCGAACGAGGAATTCTTTATGGCAACAGAAACTGGATATGAAGATGAGAAACATGATGAACATGGTGAGAACATGCTGGAGCGACTGGTCTTCTTGTTTCTATGAACTCGTGTTTGCTTCATGGACTGGTAGACCCCAATGACTCAAATGGATCGCTGTCTCTGGCGCCAAATGCTGTGATGTTCCAGATCTTCCTCGACTTAGTTTGGAGGGCTTCAAACAGATCGGTTTCACATCGCATCATTTGAGCCGACCAAGAGCGTGTGACGAGGCAAGTGAAGGCATGTGCGGCATACAGCGATTCGGAAGCACATTCATGCTAGCTGCGAAAAAGCTGCTATGATGTCACATGGAAGTCCACAAGCACACTACAAAAGTCCGAAAGCATCACTCATTCTAATTCAAGTATCATCCATCTAGAGTGAAACAGGACGTCTTCCACTTCCGGATCCATGTTAGTTTGGAGGAGGAGTTGCCTTTGACTGGCTGCTGCAAAATCCGCTGGTCAGGTCTGCATTGCTTCCCACCAACCGCCCGCACTGCAAAATCTGAAGGAGCAACAGGCCCCGGTAAGAGCCTCAAATGTGATCCTTACGAGCAAGGTTTGCTGAAGGCATGGACATTCAAACACGGGAAGTGATGATAAACGTGAGACTGGGCATTTTTGGGTAAACCCAAGCAATTCTCCATTCCAACCTTGATACCTCTCTCTCTCTCCCCCTCTCTCCGCGCAAAAGCGCATCATTATTTCTACTTGGAAGCAATGCTGCCAATGCTAGCTGCGCTGCCTCATTCATCGTGTGGCGATGGATTTCAGCTCCACATCGAAGTAGAGCCTTGGTGGGTTCGAAGAGATTCCTTCACAAAACCAGGGCCACTGACCGACCGACCGCTCTTCCGAAAAGTCCCGGCCCGGCACGGTGGTAGGAGCTTCCGTGTTCTTCACTGAGGCAAAAGACATATTGTCTGACTGGACTTCACTGGGTCATTGTTATATATAGCTGGTGAAGTCTAGCATAGAAGTCTTACACCCCCACAGTACTACCGCCCCATACACCAAACAAAAAGGATGGATCCTCCCTGCTATATCACACATCCCTCTAGACCTCCCATTTTTGCACACGTGGCCCCAGACCTCATGAACTCCTGCTCCACTCCTCTAGAGCCTCTACTCCTCTGACTCTCTGGTCTACTCCTTCTCCACGGCACGTGGCACCCGGCGGGATGGGCCCGATGCCGCGGCTGCCGTAACCCAGCTGCGGCGGCACGATGATCTGCCGTCGCTCGCCCACCTAGCTGCCAGGCGCGTGTGTCACGGGTCCGAGTGAACTCTGCCGTCGTTGACAGATTTCAGGGTACCCTATAGAGATCCAGTCGTACCGTACCTCAGGTATGGTGATGTGGAGGGTCCACTGTCATGTATGTGCCAGGAGGGTCCAGTCGTACCGAACCTGAGAAGGTATTTGGATCCCTACAATCAGTGGAGTGGAGGCGACAAAAGCCGAGAGCCGAACGAGACAGTTCGGAGATTCTTTTCACGTGGAAATGGAACATGAAAGCTGGTACACTCAGGCACTTCGCTTGCAAAAGAAGGCTTGGGCGCAAAGATGTGCAAAGCTTTCCTGTTGGAAACTTAAGCAGGTGCAACCTGTTGGAGGGTTCTGCTATCTGTCCTGCTAGAGTTCTGCAACATGTCGCATCAAAGCACTTCATGGCATCAAGTGCCTCCAAATTGAACACCCCATCCGCCCCAACCTCGTGACACCCCGCACTGCGCAAAAAGGCGGCCCGCGGGAAACGAACCAGGAGGGTGCCTTCATGCTCAACAAGGCCTCGTCCCAGCCCTTGATGACCTTTCCGATGCCGACCTGTTGACCGTCACGTGGGCGGTGAGACACACGGTCCCGACCAGGTCCAAAAGGGCTTAGGGAGAATGCCAGCAACACCGGGAGGACGTGCGTGACAAACAGGCACACAGGGGATGGGCTATATTCACGTGTGCACATCCTCGATTCATCTGCCTTGCTATTGCCTTGCATCTCTTCTTGAAAAGCGTCTCTGATTTCAGTGCTGAAAACCACCTGAAAGCACCCCATCCCACCATATCCCACCATATCCGTGGACACCTCGGACACGATTTTGATCGGCCTGGAACTCCAGCGGTTGCCTCCGGTCACGTGAGGAGTCGAACTTCTTGTCCGACTCGAAGTCGTCCAGCCAGCCTGGCGGGGTCTGCTCCATCGGAAGAAGCTGAGCAGCAGAATTCGCTCCAATCCCTTAGGGCGACTTAGTCGTACCTCCTCAGGTTCGGTATGACTGGGACCCCCAGTCCCACCTTCTCGGAGCCCTAGGGTTTTGGAAGAAATTAACACGTGCGAAAGAATTGATTTGCGTCTTCTTTTCTCACACATATAGCCGTCGTTTCACGAATCTGGTCATATTTTTCTGAGCACTGTGGTCGGATCATCATTGGTAATCCCCTGTTTCCTTATGTGGCCGAACTTTTCTCTGCAATACAATGTTACAGACAGTGTTTCAAAACACAACAAGTTGCCTTGAAGACCGAAACGCGCCTGTGTAGTCCGCCTTGATGCGTTGTCCAGTCGTGGGGATGGGCCCATCGCCATCCAAAAGCACCTTGTACTGCAAGCCCGAGGGCGTCTCAGTGAATCCCTCCTGCGTTGAGAAAGGAATCAGAAGGACGAGTTGACTTGGGAATGAGAAGAACATTTGGCGCTCACATCACTTGGAGGTGCTTGCTCATCTGCAAGCACACGGACATTGGTCAGCTCACACAATCACCCCACCCCATCAACCTGGAACTCTGAGGGAGCGACTTCTAACACATATCAATCAAAAGAGTAGTGGCGGCTGTGATAGTACAAGTGGCGGCCAATTTTTGGACGAACTGAGAGGAATTCCCTAAGCTTGAGAGAACTGACCCTAACTGGCCCCCAAAAGCTGTATCAAGGAACAACTAGAGCCACTGCGTTCCACTGTGCTCCTTTTCACCGTTGGAACTCCCCCACCCTCACTGGGCTACCCGTGCCCGTGCTGCTCGCGCCGCTTGTGGCGCCACGCCCGCGACGACGGGCGCGATCAGCAGCGCGCGGCGAAGGCCCAGGACACCCTGCGCGAAGGTGGCGCCACCCAGCAGGGCTCCTGCAGGTGGCGCAGCTCAAAACAAGGACCCTCCCAGTCTCCTACACAAGCGTATATCATTGCTCCGTGGGACTTGCAAGAGGATGTGCGTGGAAAATCCTTAGCTCAGTAAAACAATGGTCGTGGTATGGTGAAGACGGAGGGTGCCAGACAAGCATGAGTCCAGGACCAGCCGAAAAGGGTCTGCCTGGTGCTCTAGCAAAATTGATGTACAAAAAAGGAAACCCAAACAACATCGGTGAATGAAGCAATCAGCATAGCCCGGAAGACTGCCATGGGTACTGAGCAAGTTTAAGGACTGACCCGTGACCCACCTGCTTATATAGGTACTACATGGTACTACCATTGCAATTAGGTTCCTTATGCTACTAGGAGCAAAGGGCATCGCTACGAACGGAGCAGGGACGCTACTAGGGGCTCCTGGCCTCGTGGCACCACAAGACCTTGGGGATCTCAGTGCTGTCACCTCCAAAGCCCCCGAAGCACCAGCCGCGATTGGCAATTGGAGCCTGGAGCCGAAACCTTGGGGATCCAATCATTCTTACCGCTACAGGTCTTCCGGATCGTACTGGATGTGGTCGCTCAGGAACAGCTCTTATTAGGTCAACCTGGATTTCTAGGATTTTCACCCGCCATACGCCACGTGGGCCGACGCACCGTGACAGGTCCTGCCATGAGAAGAACCAAGCCGCCCACGCGGCGGGTCATAGTGTCAGGCTCCAGTGCTTTCAGAGGCGGTCCGGGTGGCGGCCGGTGCTTTTGAGCCCAAAAACTTGAGCGTTGCAGGTACGCTCTGACGAACACATCACATGGAAGTGGAAAATGCAACCCTGGAATTCTACCGTCCTGGGGGGTTTTCACTTCCATGTTGGTGAGTCAAAGTGTGTAGGTTGAAATACCTTAAGCAATCACATGCTGCTCGGCGGTCCATCTTCATTGTCTGCCCAAAGCAACGGCAGCATCATAGGACACCTGTAGGCTTCAAGAACATCTTCCTGGGTTTCCCGCCCATCAGACCGTTCCCCACATCTTCCAAATTACAGACCTTGGTCTATCATATGACCTGCGCCCCAGTGGATGATGGTTAGGTTGCAGGCCTGTTCTGGTTGACCTGCTACAGGTAACAGATGGTAACAGGGACCGACCCTAAACCCAACATCTTCCCGTCAAGTCGACTATAAAAAAGAATGGTCTTTAGGGGAACTGAAAGGGAACTTCCTTTACTTCAGCCGGTCAAAATATAGTCTTTGGACTTCTAGGGCTTCCAATTCAGCTCGCACGGGTGTCGTTTTTTGGGGGTGTCAGAGTCTCGCACCTCCTTGACTTTGTCTGACACGCGCTGCTGGCAGGTTTCAATGAAGGCTTCCCTTGGTGTCTGGGCATCTTTGACGAAGTGAAAAACAATTCTGGAAGGTGCTACCCTCCCCCAGTTCCCAGCATGGCCCCAGTGGGAAGAGGAAAATAGTCTGAACATGTCTGAACAAAGCATAACAAAAACCTCCTGATAGGGGCAGGTAGGTAGGTAGATGGGTGGGTGGGTGGGTAGGTAGGTGGGTGGGTAGGCCCTGGAGCAGTTCTCAGGGTAACAAGAGTGTTCATCTGGAGGGGTGCAGCCTCCAAGTTATTCACATACAGTCAACTTAACAATATCATTGTCTTTGGCCTGTGGGAGTTTCACCAATAAGGCTGGCATGGTTCCATGATGCTCTACTGTAGGGGGCGAGCTCTGCGGAGGTGCCAGTAGTATCAAGTGAAAAGGAGAGAATCGTTTGGCGAGCTCTGCGGGAACATGGTCCATCCCCGATGTTCATCAGGCAATCCTACCCTTGAAGGAAAATTTGATTGACGCTCTCTATTTGGGGGTAATTGAAGCTGTCCGAGAATGTTGTTCACCAGGGCCCCAGCACTGTCTGCCATTGCTGAGCAAAGGCAGGGATATGATCCTGGCACACATGGTCGCCTCCATTCATCCCTCATGACCTACCTTACTCAAGGAGGAAGCATGGCACCACCCACAAGTGGGTGAACGTCAGGGACCTCCCCTGTCGTCAAAAGGGCCTTGAAATGCCTTGATCATATGATTTGATGAACATGCCTATGCCACATTCCCCCTGGTCCTGATGATCTAGTTGGCCAAACTCCCTAACATCCAACAAGGCTATCGGATCAGATGCATGCTTTCCTGTTGCCTTACATCAGCCACGATGTCAGGGCACGATCTTCACCGATGAGCCAAATAGAAATGGGTCAACATCGATCACAGCAAGCTTTGCTTGACACCAATCTACAGAACCTGGCTACCACGCAGCAGCTCCATATTGGACCATAAGAAGACTTGGCGGAATAAAGTTGCCTTTGCTGGGCCTAGGCCTACTGTGTACATTCTCTTGCACACAGCTCAGCTTTAAACATAGTTGAAGGTGGTTTGTCAGCTACCAAGACTAGCTGAACTTCAGGTCAGTCCATCCCTCCAGTCCATGTCTTCCCATCCTGTCGCCGCCACAGCTTCGCCCCTCAACCATCCCTCCCTCCCACAGCTTCGCGCCCGCGGTCGCACCCGCAAGCGTTCCAACTGCCGCGCCAGGACGGAGATCATCTTGAGACGCGCCTGGGTCGGATCAAATCGAGGGAGAGACCTCCATGGAGTGGGGGGGGGTTGGAGTGGGGGGTCAAGATGGGTCCAGAATCCGTCTTTCAGAGGCTTTTGGGGAAATCTCCCTTTGACTCCAACTGGAAAACCGAGTAGTGTTCTGTTCTTCCCACAGGTCACGACAGGAGAAATTGATCGTTGGAACCAGTGAAAGAGCTGGATGGAGCTACTGCATGGGCCCAGTTGGATGGTGCTTCATCATGCAAAAACGGCAACAATCATGAAGTGCAACATAGGCCCCCCTGGAAGTCCAGCCATTCCTCTAAAGGTGGGGCCTGCTCAGCTTCCGTCCGAGGGAGGGTAGAAGAACTACTCTCTGAGGGAAGGACTCCGCATTGAATCCGCACACAGCATCCGTGCTTTTGGTGCTTCGTTTTGCGCGGACGCAGAGCGCACGAGAAGCGGCGCAGAGCGGGCCTTGAGCCAAAACAGTGCCGAGCCTTGGCACTCCGGAGATCTTTTCTCCCAAACCACTGTAAAGTAAGTGTCACTACCAATTGCTGCCTCAGGCGTTTTCCAGCGTCTGGAAATACTCATCGCTGATGAGGAGTCCAGGGCAAGAGCCGATGGTGCTGCAAAAGTGCACCTCTGAGATTTCACAGTGCTCCTGAGCCATCACGCACGTCAGTTCCCAGCAAACCTGCTTGCTCATTACTCAGTCCTAGGAAATGTGACCCCCCAATGGATATTATAAGTCTTGTCAAATCACGATCTATAGATGTTTACATAGAAACGCCAAGCTTGCCCTCTCTCTCTCTATGTCTCTAAATATATATTGGCTAATAGACACCCATTAACCTCTAAGGAGCTATTATTGGACACCTGTTAAGGGGGCCAGGTATATATAATCAAGAACAAAATGGCTCAAAACTCAGAGGAGTTCAGGCTCCATCACGGCCAAAAGCAATGCGATCTTGGGTACAATGTAGCCCGGTGGCTCACGCAACTCTCCTGGCACGAGGTGATATGACAGTTACTTGGGGGGGGTGGATCGGTGCTGGGGGGGGGTTGCTGCCTTCAAAAAGATGTAGAGATTCGATCACTCGTTTGCGCGGATTCCTTTGATAAAAGGCTGAGATGCGTGATCCATTGTCCCTTTAAATCGGGAGTTGGAACTTGGGAATGGCCTTCTCATGTCTTCTCTTTATTCTTTGGCGGGCTTTTTGTCCATGTGACACTGCGAGTGATTTTGGGACATCCGGAGGCTGAACAACAATGAATTTCCCCCCCACATCCTCCAGCAAACACATCACATGGTCACAATTTCAATGGATGGCTGGATGGCCCACCCAGTTGGTAGAGGAAGCTTCGCCATCCGCCCATGCCATCCACTTCGTGGCGACTCCCCCAGTTCCCCTGGTGTAAGAGATGATATCATGGTTCTTCCAAGTGACCGAACTTGATATCCCAGCTTGAAGTCACAAACAGGCCTGTCAAAGGTCACTCAAAAAAGGCACTCCAAAGAGGTCACGTACTAAAGAAGCTGCATCATGCGTTGTGTTGGGAGTTCTGACACCATTCTTGGACCCGGACCCTTGGAGCTCCATCGAGCGCCGAAAGGGTCCTGCGTGCGGCGCGCTGAAAACCCGTCCTTGGCAAAAGGCGCGTGAGGAGAGCTCTTCATCGGTCTGATCCACCACACCTCGGCACCGAAGAGCACGGCGGTGTGGTCTTTGGGTTCGGGTCGCCGTACCCACCAAGCTGCGGATCCTGCAGCAGAAAAGGGTCTTCTGCAAGAAGGGCTTGGACGATCCCATCGGGGTCTTCTGCCATTCTCCCATTCACTCCTAAGGATCACCCAGGCTAACCAGCATTCCTCCCACAAAGAATTGCATTTGGCTTGAGTACTGTATGGGATGAGTCAGCCTTTCCTATTCTTTAATAATGAAAACGAGTTTTCAGTGACTTGGTGAACGAAAGATGCGAAAGATGTGCAGCTGGCCCACAATGGGTGCCCCTGTGGGCTGTTGAAGTAGTTCATCTCCTGAAAGCTGCAATTCTCTGTATAGGCTCTGGACATGGCCAAGGTTGAAGGGGGCACTCCAAATGACCAAATCCTGGACAGGGCCTGGAAGACGTCTGAAACATCAAATTTAACGTCTGAAACATCAACTTTCTTCATCAAACTCTAGAAGATCGTAGTTTCCTCAACTACAACCCGGCGCGCCAAAGAGCACAGTCCATGTGCGTCTTCAGCGAGGTCACTGTGTCACTTCCAGAGGTGCCACTATACTGTTCCCTGGACGGTTCCAGTGACTAACACGAACTCCAAAGCCACCTTCCAGTGCCGCCTTCCGTCAGTCCATCTGTGAGAAGTTGGATTTGAGGTGATCATCCTTCCCCTGCCCCCGATACCTTCTCTGATGGTGCAAAAATACCATTCGAGTTGTATGATTAGAGATATACGCATGGTACCCAAGCTCGCTACTACAGAACTAGACGGGTCGGGACTTCCCAGACCTCCAAAGTCTTTTAGCACGTCTGGAGCTCTAGCACAAAGGTCCTGATGGTCCTGGACATTCCTGGACCTGTAAAGCCAAGACGCTCTTCAAGACTTCGCGGATCTCTGAGGGGCGGTACTGCCGCTTCCCTAAGGCTTCGAACGCCACGCAGAACCTGAGCCAGTCCACCCTTCTGGCTAAAGCCTCACACACCCCCTAGGCGTGTGTCCTACACCATGCCCAAATCAACCCTTGCATGGAGAGAGAATCTGTATACACCCCTCCACGCGTTCCAAAGCCAAAGACAAGTTCAGGAAGTGTCTTGATTGGATGAATATGTCCGTGTCCTTGATTAAAGGGAAAGCTTCTCGCACCAACCAGAAAGCCCAAAGCCCTCACTGCCCTGCCGGTCCAAGTGCGTTCAGCTCACCAAAGCCCCCAAAGCATGTCAGCTTCGTCCTTTGGTAGGGTCCAAAGCTCCCCCCTAGCTCATTCATTCTCTGCAAGCCACCAGGTGTGGTATTTTTCCAGGACCGGCCCAAGAACGCCTGAACAAGGCCTCTCTCCAGCTAAAGGCCCAGCCGCATAGAGTTCGGCCCTCCAATGGCAGTGACGACGCTTTGCTTCAACCAGGAGGGTACCACATCCAGGCGTGTTTTCAACGCCACCACCAACTCGTCCTGAACTGAGTGGCGTTCAGGATGAGCGCAGCAGGTTCCGAGTTCTATTCCACAAGCACTCCATGCAACTGGCATATTTGCCTACATTGGAGTGCTGGGGTGAATGTCGGACAATGTAGGCATATGGCATATGTAATATCCAGTCCCATGGAGTGTCTGGGTTCTAATCTTTGATGAATTGACCAGCATCCTCTGCACGTTCGACCCGTTTGCCTCTGGAAAACTTGAGGCCAGGGGGAGGAGGTCGAAAGCTAGCCGAATCGCGCCGGATGTACTAGTTACATAGTCGGCAAAGCATGTAGGGATTACATGTTTTGGGAGGAAGGTTGCTATGTACATACTTTGCGCTAAAGAATGTAAATGTGACATCGCTGACTGGGAAGGGTACATTGGAACAACCCGGGTGCACTCGTTGGCAGGCACGAAGATGCGTGATCGGCAAATCTGGGGGGTAAATTTACCCTCCGCTTTTGTATGCCTTGAGTCGGAAAGAGGGGTAAGCATTTCTGACATCATATGGACTGTACATACACTAGGGCGTCCGTAGTGTAGGAGAAGCACGGGTAAAAGGTATATGGAATAGAGTGTCTTGAGGAAATAGCCGGCTTGTGGTTATTGCAAATCTGGGGGGTAAATTTACCCCCCGCTTATGTATGCCTTGAGCCGGAACGAGGGGTAAGCATCACAAGGACTGTGCATACACTAGGGCGTCCGTAGTGGAGGATAAGCACTGGCAAAAGGTATCAAGAATAGAGAGTCTTGAGGAAATAGCCGGTGTATGGTTATAGCAAGCCTGGGGGGTAAATTTACCACCCGCTTATGCATGCATTAGGTTAGAAATAGGGGTTTCACCGTTACAAGTCCTATGCAGCAAGCAGCAGCCAGCAGCCAGCAGCAGCAGCAGCAGCCGCCTGCAGCCAGCAGCCAGCAGCAACCGCCAACCAGCAGCCAGCCAGCAGCACCACGCAGCAGCAGCGCAGCATCAAGCCGCAGCAGCAGCAGCACCACCGGCAGCAAGCAGCAAGCAGCAAGCAGCAGCAGCAAGCAGCAAGCAGCAGCAGCAGCAGCAGCAGCGGCGTCGTCAGCAACAGCAGCAGCAGCAGCAGCAGCACCAAGCCGCAACAAGTAGCAAAGCAGCAGCTACAAAAGCGGCAACCAGCGGCAGCAGCAAACAGCAGCAGCAAGCAGCAGAGCGGCAGCAGCAGCACCGTTTACACCAAGCCACCGTTTACACCCAACCAACCACGTTCACACGTTCAACCACCCCCCACACGGCGCGCAGCTGGGAGTCGAACCGTGGGGGGGTGGGTGGGGGGGGGGGGGGGTTGGGGGGAAATATCACCCCAAAGGGGGGGGGCCCCCCCCCCTTAGTGTGATATATCAAGCTTTAAGGCACACAGCTCATCCCACTACCAATTGCTAAAGCAAAGAAGAACTCAGCTAGCATGCTAGCTTTCGTGACAATGATCACCCAAACCGTGAGTATCCCTACTGTGTATCCCTTCATCACGAATCACCTCCGGTTGAGCAGACAACCCAGGAACCCAGAAGAAGCCTCTCACTTGGGCCGGTCATGCTGTCAAGACTATTGCGGTGCTCCTCTCTGCCCTAGCTCTTCCAGCACCGATGCCTACCTTCGACCAAGGCACTGCGGCTTTGCTGTCCACTGGGTTGGGCGTCACTTTGGGCGCCATGGTCCTCTTTTGCACCTCTTCCACCTGAAGAGAAGACACCCGCGCATCTCGATCGCGAGCGCGAGCAACCTAAGAGTTGCCAAGAGGTGTGCCACCGGCAGTGCGGCAGCCACTGCCCTGCCCGTCCGAGCCCTCCAGAACTATACCCGGAATACAGTATACTCGTTCATTGGAACGTGGACCACTTGTAGCTTAATGATATCCGCATCTCCTTCTGCACCTAAAAAACTCCAGCAGTTTGGCCCTATTCCCCCAAGCCCTCCAGCTGCACACGACGACCGCGCAGACGTCCGAGCGGCACAAATGGAGGTCACGACCCCGGTTCCCAAGCCACCAAGGTAACCTGGCAGGTCGAAGGTAGAGCTGGATGTCAAGATGCCTGGCTTTGGACCTGAGATTTGAACGATATGCAGGATGTCTTCAAATCGAAACCAAACATTCAAGAAAGACCGGCCCCTGGCATCCACATCTAGTTTTGAATTACTGTAATGTTCGTGCAGGTGATGTCCGACTTAGCAACCCACCCCCCAACAACAAGAACGAAGCAAGGCCGGCCAAGAACGAAGCAAGGCCGGCCATGCATGGCAACTATAGACTATAAGCTCTAAAACCTTTAATACCTAGAACCTCGTTAGGCAATAGGTATCTACAAGAAGGTTATAGGTATCAAGAGGTTATAGGTATCTACACCTTCTGGAATCATCATGGAAGTGGTGAAGTTACCACTTCCATGAAGGGAGAACATGGTCCATCCAACAGGCCATGCAGCCATGCCATTCACATTCATCCATCCACCTGCATGATGATTTGGATTCCAAAGGATTTGCTAAAGGAAACCTGAACTGGGGACTCCCATCCAACACCTGGGATCGGCCTTGAAGACCGTCGTCGCCTCTCATGGTGATCTGAAAGCTGGCGCCTCGCAGAGGGTCGAACGTGCGGGGAACTGGGCGGTGGAGTGAAGGCGAAGCAAGTGCATATGATCGGAGGAGATCCACCAAACATGATCTTCATCATCCACCACCTCCACGATCTTCAAATCGATCAATCAAACGAAAGGGATCTGCCATCATTCACCTGTGATCAAACCATGATCCAGAACCCCCAGCTCCCCAGACCTTCCAACAGAGGTTGAAGGACCTGAACTAGGCTATCCCATAGGGGGCGCCCTGGTGACGGGTCCTAGTTCAGGTCACTTAACCTCCCCAGACCTTCCCTTCACTTCCAAGCGTCCCCCCGAGTCCCAACAGATGACATTCGGCACGTCCGCCAAGGCCAGCGCCGTGCGGAAGCCGACCTCGGCCTCCTCGTGCTGCGACAAGACCTCGAGGTTCGGGAGGACCGGTCGAGAGCGGTCGTGCCTTCCGTTGGGTGTCAGAGATCATGGATGGGATCGGATCCAAAAACCCCAAGCATAATCGCTACAATCGCGGTATCCAAATCAGGGAGTTCACTCAGTTCTTGCTAAGTTCAGGGGTGAGGATCACTCCTGGGGGTTCTCCAATTGGCCTCGCAGATCCTCACTTTACTGACGTTCCAGGTCCTCCCAAGAATCCAAGGTGTCCCAAAATGAACGAGTTTGTTGCGGTCTCTCTCTCTCTCTCTCTCGCTTTTCTCTTTCTCTCTCTCTCTCTCTCTCTTCCAGGTGATTTATTTAAAAAAGCATATCCGACTGAAATACACATTGCATGCATGCTGTTGCATGTACCAGATCCTGGCCAGGCTGCGGAACCGCACCGTGCCAGGGTAGAAGGGCTCGCTACGTGGGAATGGCTCCCATCCACAGCTCGTCTTCGCTCCAATGCTCTCACATGCAATGCATCCATCCGACGCATCCGAGCTGCAACCGAGCTGCGCGCACCGGCAAGGCCAACTCTTTCAAGACCTTTTCCAGATAGCCGGCGCCATTGCCAGCCTGGCCGAAAGACATGGGCTTGTTGGACATGGGCTTGTTGCCCCCCCTGGATGACCATGTTCATCCCACTCACGCAAAAGTAACGGGTGTCTCAAAACCACCCCACCATACCCCAACATCAAACATCTAAGGTCTAGAAAGTCTTCTGTCATCTTCTCTGGACCTCTGCGGCACATGGTTCTCAGTTTTTGTTGACCCGACATGTACCCGGCTCGATTCTATCATGCCTACTGGAGGCCACACCCACCCGCTGCGCCTTACGGAAGACCTCCGTGGCGATGGCGCAGCGCGCCGCCTCGCGCGGCACGCGCAGGCGTTCGCACTCGCCGACCAGCTGCCGCAGCACCGAAAGGCCCTAGCGGACGAGGACGGCCGGCTATGGCTACGGCTACGGCCTGGTGGCTGCCTTGTGGTGCTGTTTCTCCAGGAAAAAGCTGGGCAAAAATCCAACTGGACCAACTGAATCTATGCAAGGGATATTCTTGTGTTTTAAACCATCCATTGAAGCGGCTGTGGTGTGTTATTGATCCCTAAGTGTTCAGGATCCTGTGGTGCGCGTGCTTCCTCACATCTTCCCTTTCGCCCGCAACCTTCTTAGAAGGTCAATATCTCGATTACGCCGGGCGAATCCAGATTTATTGCTCATGTGAACGACTTGCAGAACCTCTTACGTACTTAGTCTTCACTAAATGTGATGCTGCCTTCATTGGAGGTTTTGGCAGCTCATGTCTGGCAGGTTGCGCAGGCCAATTCCACCACTGGGAAACAAGTCTTCCGACCCAAAGAGGTTCAGCGTTCTCCAATTGAGCCGAGCTCGTCGAAGTTAGCTGTTGCCCCAAAAGGTGCCAGACATCAGCATCCCCAGTGTGAGACAACGCAATCATCAAGGTAGCGAATATTCCCTAGGCATCTAAGTACCTTCTCAAAGTTTATTGGAGACACTGTATAGGTTTGGAGGGTCCAGTCGTGCCTTACTTTCTCAAAAGGTACTTGGATCCCTAGGGAATAACAAGATCACCCTGAAGAATCTCCAGCCTCCTCTTGAATTGCTTCGCTCAAGTTGCCGTCGCTGGATTGTTTCCAATCGATGGCGAAGGACACGGGGATTTCCTTCGCAAACAGCTCCTGCCGCTGCGCACTCGCCCGTTCCGCACTCGTCCTGATGTGAACCCTGCCCATGCTGATGGACATTCCAGCAGCTGCTGGTAGTGCAGACCTCTGCCCCAGGTCGACGCAGGTCTACAGTGTGGGGGATCAAACACATGTCCGCCCGCATGAAAGCCCCTCTGCTGGAGCGCTTTAAGTGACTCCTGAGCCCGGAACATGACGGTTTATTTGTGTCCACCGTTTAGTGGATAAGCCGATTCTAAGACCAACAAATCCAAAACCTATATACTCTTGCCCCGCCCCTGCACTCGCTCCACCGAAGACACAGTCTCTAACTCTAACCTCCTAGTGAAGCACCAACCTACAAACTCAGTAGTCTCACACAGCTATAGCAAAAAAAAACATTGGATACCTTTCAAAATTAACCTCCTTACATAAGCACATTCTTTTGCACCTTGCTTAGGCCATGTGGAGGTCCAGTAGCCGCTGTGGAATGCATCAAATTATATAACCGGGTAGCCTATACCATCCAAAACCTGCAAAATGTATCGGACGTCAGATCTTTATTTTGAAGAGCCAGGCATCTTCCTTGAGTATCTGCTTGGGCTGCGATGTTCCATGTTATAAAGGAATACCTATATAATCCTGTATAGCAATGGTAGGCACAGGATAGCCATGGATAGCCAATCGCTGTATAAAATCAACAGGAAAAGGATCACCATGTTTATCGCGGCATACTCTGTAGGGCTATAGCCTCCGCCTATCGCTCCTTCATCACTTTGCCCTTCTCCACCTCCGCCACCATCAGCTTCGTCGCGCCCGAGCCGATGTCGAAGGCCGCACGCAGGCAGCGCGACATGGGAGCGGTAGGAGTGGCACTGTGGATCTGGAGAGTCCTTCCTCTGACAGAGGTTTTTGTTTAAGGGTCTTTAAGAACTCCATTAAGGGTGGTGAGTAAGTGGTGGGGCTACTATGTGGTATGGCTTAGACTGGGGTGTGTCCCCTTTTTTGTGGGAGATGCTCATTTGAGGAGTCCTTCAAAGCGGATCTGCACTAGGTGTCCCATCTTGGAACGTCATACCCCCACCAATGTCTCGTGTGTCTAGACAGACGTTTGAACGGGACGGAGTCGCCGATCCGGGAGCCCAATTGCTGAGGAAATGGATTCGCTCTGGGATGGCCGAACCTGGGATGGCCAGCCCAGGTTCCTGCAGCACTGGCAACTCTCACCTGTAGATACCTAAAGACTATTCTCTCACCTATAGATACCTGGCAACTCTCACCTATAGATACCCAAATGTGTGCTTATGATTGCGCGCACATTCCGCAAGTACACACGCCAAGACTTAGCTTCATCTCGCCATCACGCCAGTCAGCTCGTCCCTCGACCCTCGGTGGTGAAGCTCAACACGCTGAAAGCTCCCATCTGAGTCTTACAATTTGCAGACCGGCATGAATCCATCGGTCATGCCTTTTCAAGTGCAAATTCCGGAAGACTTGAATCCTTGAATATGCACCTCCCAAACACCAGGCTGAAAGTGGTTTCGTGCCAGTTTGACTCAGCTCACCTTCAAGTAGAGCAAAGCGCACACACCATAGAGCTGCAACAAGGTCTAGCCCCCCAAAACTCCGTGGGACTGGAATAGCTAAATGATCAATGCCATTCAATGCCTCCAATTGAGCCTTCCACCATCTCTGCTTCGGGTCAAAACCACACCCTGGTTGACCACCGAAATCAAAAGAATAGATTGAATAGATGGTTAAACTCTCCTGGTGAAAGCTCCGGGTGCCCTGACCCCGGAATGTCGGTGTCTGCGTCTACTCGTGCTTAGTGCTTAGTAAGGGATGAGGACATCCCTACACCACCCGATATGTTGGGATCCAGCCACCCTGTTTTGCTAAGCACCCTGACTGGTCTCAACAACTCCTTCCGCTCCCCCACCTCCCGCTCCGGTAGATGTCTGGAGATCAACTGATCACAGCGGATCTGCCCCACCACCCTGACGCCGACGCCACACACCACGCCACGACACGGTACCGAAGCCGGGGATCCCAAGGTTTCATACCCGGATCTTCCAACGGTGACCCATTTCATGCCATTTCATCTGTGAAAATCAGCCAAGTGAGGCAGACCGTTTGGCCTTGAAACCATGCAGGGTCCTGTAGGTCTGGGGTTCTATAAGACGACTAGCAGGATCCAGCGAACGAGCGCTTGGTAGGTCGGTAACGGTCCGTGTTGTTCCATGGAAAATCCATCCGATGAGACCTAGCCAAACGATTCCCAAACGCGACTAATGGGACTGGCATATTTACATACATTGGGGTGGTTTCGGGGGTCAATGCATACGGCATGGCATAACGGCATATACACCAGATGTGGAGTGTCTGGGATAGATGAGGTGATTGCAACCCTATGTTCAAATGAGTCCAACTTTCGACCGTCCACGCCACGCCACCAGAATTGCCCCGCCCTTCCATCAAACTGAAGGGCGGAATCCGGTCCCATGTTTTAAACGCCCAGGATCGATGATCTGTAGGGGACGGATTCATATAGGAAGCTCAAGCCTAGGGATCCACTGCCACCGTACCTCAGGTTCGGTACGACTGGGCTCGACCCTGGCGCCTACATCAATAGGCTCCCTAGGGCAATGGGACCTCAGCCTGCGGAAGGGGCAGGTCCCTTGCATTCCCTTGCCACATCTCCTTCTGTGAAAAACCGAGGTTGATCACGGTTACGAAGTCGTCGCCTGAGTTGGAAGCACCATCCAAAGGAACCCCATGGGATCCAGTCGTACCTTCTCAGGTACGGTGAGCAGGGAGACTATTGATGTAGGCGCCAGGAGAGCCCAGTCGTACCTTCTGAGAAGGTGGCAGTGGATGTGTAGGGAAAGGAACCCCATCCGCCTTTTTGAACCCACCAACTCGTGATTTCTCGTGCACCGCCCCGATCTGCACTGCCCACAACCTTTCGGTGCCCGGTGCTCCGCGGAGCCGCGCCTGGCGGAGAAGCTGCTGCTCTGCACGCTCCAGTTCCGCGGGCCGCGCGCAGCGCTCGGCACGGAGCGGGCCTCGGTGGGAAGGGGTCAGGGTCAGGATTTGAGAAATGAAGGTCTGGACTTGCCAGAACAACACCTGGACAATCTACATCCATGGGAGATCCGGAACAATGGAGATACTGCCAGTCTCTGCCCATCCCAGCGAACTTACTGAAATTGGCTGCGAAAAGGAGCTGTATAATGCTGTATATCGATTGGTGTGGGTGCTGTTAGACAACCCCGGACAATGCCAAGCTCATTGAAAAGCTTGGGCAACGCCAAGCATGCATCGTTGGGACATCGATCATCGGTCATGACCATTAACGGGATTACCTGCAAACAGCTTTGCAGGTAGAGCCATGGCAATTCTGGCTGACCTTGCTAGAGCCTCTTTTTGGGGTGCGGTGTAGGTCTTCTCATGTCTTTCCTGTGTATCCTCCCAAGTGAGGTCGGGGCGATGTCGCAAAGCATGGCAAAGCGCTAGGCCCTCAACAGCCTGCCCCTCAAGGTATTCACCCAAGTGCTCATAAGATACAATGAACACTCCAACCACTGAGTCGGGGCCTTGGCGCATGCCTTCCTCACCACACATCGGGGGCCCCGCAGGGCATCCTCACTTCCTAGAGAGGTGGTGTTTTTGGGTGTGATGCTATCCGAAATCAGATGGAAGAATAGCGCTCCCCTACTTCTCACGAATTCAGCGGTCTTGTTGGTCCACAAAGAATCAAATCCACTGCTTTTCCACTCGAGTCGCAGCCCCCCAAATTCCATCGAGTCGCAAACCCCCCAAAACATCCCTCGCCCTGAGACATTGCCCGTGGCCCAATGACTAGGTGTCCTCACCGAAGAAGGTCGGCTACTTGCCTGTGAGGGGGCCAAAGTCCTCCACCCAACGGTCCTGCAAAACACCTCTTTCATGTCCCTAAAGGGCTCCAACCACATCCTCAGGTGGTTAAAATTTTTATGGTGTTGTTTCGGGGGTCTAACTGCCTTTTGAGTTGAGGACGTGGTTGGAGCCCTAGGGGTGGATTTTGCCGTCACCGTGTCCGAAGACCTCGGAGCTTGGCGTCCATCATGATCGGAGCTTCGTTTTGGCGTCCAGGCCCAGACCATCCATGGTAATAGTTGAAAGTTATACCTACATTCCCTATGGATCCACTGCCACCTTCTCAGAAGGTAATTGGACCCTCCTGGCGCCTACATCAATAGTCTCCCTGCTCACCGTACCGACCTGGTTCGGTATGTAGATCCATAGGGGTTGGGGTCATTAAATGGTGTAAATCAGGGGTACTATGTTGGGTCTATCCGAGTCTACCTGGGCCCAGTGGATGATGATGATGATGATGATGATGATGATGATGATGATGATGCTGATGATGATGGTTCAGTTGCAGGTCTTGTTGCAAAATAGTCATGTGCTTGTTTACTGACTGTTACAGGTAATGGGGCAAACCCCAGGTAAATGTATGTAACTATTCCGTATCTATAGATGGTTGGTCTGGGACCCCAAAAAATCCATAGACCGGCCGTGTGAGCTTCTCCATTTCCTTATGGTGTGACCATACCTCAATCCTTGGAGGAAAACACCACACGTCGATGGATACGATTCAACTAGTGGCCAAACCTGTTGAATGGATTATCGTGGCAGCCAAAGCGACACTTTTTGCGTCTGTCTTGTGGTATCTTGTGGCAGCTTTGTCGGAGTTAGCCTCTGGGCGTTCATATTGGTCTCAAATCAATCTAAACGTCAAATGTTGAAGCACAAGGACTAACAAGGACCATCAAGGAAATTACCAAACAAATGGTGCTGATTTCTGAGGTTCACATAAGTTCACCACATGGAGGACCATACATAGGAAAGCCTCCCCAAGTGGACATGAGATGGTTCTGACATTCTAATGTGTCTAATCCTTGAATCAACGACCCCGAGGACGGGACGGGTGCCGATTCCCCAGAAACGTCCTCGTGCATGAGGCATGTTGCCACCTGATAATTGTTGCAAAGCTAATCCCAAATAGAAAACAAGCTGTTGATTAGAACATGATTTAACAAAGCAAGTTGAATGCTGAAATTATATAACCTCTGATCCAATATGTTCCATTCATCCATCGTTGAACTACCGCTTCCATCGGCCAAGCACTTGGTGCCCACGCCGGAGCCGAGCGCACCGACCGCTGCTCGGCCGATCTGGGGCGGATTCGGCCTTGGGTGGTGAGCTTGAAATTAATGGAACATCGATGAAGATCGGTAGATGTCCGCCCCAACTGCCGCCCCAACATGGGACTGGAATATATGCCGCCCCAACATGGGACTGGAATATATGCCGCCCCCTGGCACCACCCCAACTGATCGGCAGTCCTATGGCAGTCCCATCGAACTCGAGTGGAAAAAACGGTTTTCATTGTTTTTCCTCTAACAACTATAAGTAGTTTTCAGGGTCCATGTTTCGTCTCCAGCGGGGTAGGATTCTATGGCTTTGGGGTGCTTTGGGTGTTTCATGGTGTTTCTATTCTCCTGCAAAGAGTGAACCCCCGTCACCCGTCTCAACCAACTTATGTTCTTCGTTCTTTTCCATTTCTATGAGCTTTGGGCCAGTGTTCAATTGGTAGCCCACAAATTCGAGACCAAAAATGACCTTGTTACAACCTATGTGACACCGTGCGATGGAGACCCTGCCCAAAGTTTCGGTATAGGAGGCACGACATCCGCCCAATCAGCGGTATCATTCCCAAACAGCTCGTCTGTAGGCATTAAGACTCAGTTTCCCTGGGAAAAACAGTCTTTGTGGGCCCAAAACTGAAGCTACTAGATGGCACTAGGATTGCAAAATCCCACGTGATCCCACTTGCCACCAACCTCAAACACATC